ATGTACAGGGTAAGCGGAATTGTCTGCTAAAATTTCTTTCCTGTGATTGTCTCTTTCCTTTCCTCTTCAGGTTGTACTCCTCAATTTTTGGAAGAAGGGGGATGGCCACCTTGAGTATATTACGCGCGGCACGCAACTAACTCAACCAGCCACCTAGCCAGCGTGAACTGAGTCCAGTTGGTATATTGTGTACGAAGAGTTGATCTCCAAAATACCCACCAGGGTTGCATTTGTAATATGTGAAATACTCAACTGAATCCAGTCCTTTATTTACTTTAAACCAGGCTGCTCCCAGTGAGGCATCAGCCTGCGTCATTACCAGTGGCAAAAATTATTTGTCACAATGAGTGTGTCTGGAGCAGCCATAAGTTTGGAATTTGCCGCACAATGCTTCTGGCTTCAGCAGATAGGGTGCAAATATTTCAGTGATTATGCTGAGAGCGAAATGTGGCGCAAATAGTACCCCAACACCTGTTTCACACTGGTTATTCATCAATTCAATGCAATGTGTAGTGGCCCAATTTTGAAGCAAATGTAGCTCACTAATATGTAGGTGTCCTGTACAATGTATATTTTTTACAGGCCAGCAGCATTGCAGATATGAGCATATTTTGAACTTTTGCAATCATGGAGACTTGAATCATGCATGCAGGAATGACACTTGAATGTGATTTGGAGAAACAAGTATTGGCCAAAATTGTGATAGCCAATGCCTAAAGACAAGACAGGATTTTAAAATCATCATATGACTTACCCATAAACAAGACAATGCTGGCTTGCAGTAGGCTGACTATGGAATGATAGATTGACTGGTGGACAATAAAGGTTATAATGACTTAAGATAGGTATCCATTTTATGGCTAGACAAGGTATTTGGAGGTTTAACACCCTGCCTTGTTTTGCTAGTTTAGCAGTGGTATCACTTATGAGTAACCAGTCAATTCCTGTTTTGCTGGAGATGAAAGTAAAGTACCTTGATGAAGATAAAGTTTTAAGGTGAGATCAACTCATGTGACCTGACCCAACTATCAAAAATATTTGCAACACTTCAACCAAAATAGCAGCATGATCCATCAATAACTTTGAAAGATCATGTAACATGCAGGGTATAGGTGAGATTTCATGTTGGGCTAAGACAACATTGTCTTAATGTGTACAGTGTGATATTGTCATTTTATCATAGCAGTGTAGCCATGATTGCTTTAAGAATATATGATACTGATGTTTGTATACTTGGCTGCCAGAAATTACCAGCAGTTCATCAGTTGTATCAGCTCTTGAGATTGACCAGTGAAGTGATCATGGTTTACCCCCACCCACCCACCTCCAAGCCCTCACACAAGAAACACCACCATGGTCTAAATGCTATAGTTTGTGAAGGTTATCAGTAGTCTGTGCATGGAGAAGAATTAATGCTGTCTGGAAGCCTAGGGACCTATCCAAGTTTAATTCTGCAGCTGGCATGAACTATTGTGTCTGCCAGCCCCCAGTGTGGAGGCGGCGGTGGAGCCGCCACATCATCATGGTGAGCCGGTGTGGCACCTGTACAGCGCTGTTTGCCTGGAGCGGCTACCAGTGGTGGCCCCTCCACTTTCACCTATTGAGCGGGAATTCTCCACGCTGCTGCGACGACTGGAGTTTGAGAACAGCCTCAAGTCTGACCACGAAATGCGCCATGAGCGCGACATGTGAGTAACAGGTGCAGGCAGGTGTCATGTGCGGCCGTGTAAGTGCCAGCTGCGCGCGGGAAGGGTAGGGCGCCTGAGGGGTCAGTTTCGCGCGATCCATTTGCGATTGCAGGTAAATATGTTGTTTGGCAGAGTACTAAAGCTCATGTTCAGCATGATCATGCCAATCAATCATGGCACATCTTGAAGCCTGAGTGTACACCATGTGCAATAAATGCAGTCCGTCTGGCCGCCGTCATCTGGTGCAGCACTCCGTGGATAGAGCGATCACGTGGCGTGTTTCTGGCGGAGCGGTGCGTGTTTGCGTCTGCGTGCTCCGGCCGTGGGTGACGTTTGTCCGGTCGGAGCCCGGGCCGGGCCGCCCCGGCCCCCAGCTGATGTCCGCGCGCACCGGTCGCGGCTGATCTGTGTGCGCCCGGCACCTTGCCAGAGCCACGGCTGAGGCGCTCCGGCTGTCGGATGGCGACGACGCGGACCTGATGGACGCGGCCAGCATGCAGACGGCGGCCGACTTTGAGGACGCCTGCGCCGAGGAGCTGGCCGCCTTCACATCAGCTCCGATGCTCACAGGTCAGCGATGCGCCCCGCAGGTCAGGCGGGTCGGTCAATGACGGGCCGAGTCAGAACTCAACGCAGCTAACGACGGCCCATACCCCCGGTGGAGATGAGTGACTCCCCGCGTGCTCGCTGGAGGGGTAACTCGCTGCTGTGGTCGCGCCGGCGGGTAGGAGCCGTCACCCAGCCGGCGCTGTGTCCGATGACGGCCGCGCTGGTCTGTCCGGGGGCTGACGCGTGGCCGGCCGGCGCCGTTCGCGTCCCCAGAGGCAGACCGGACGGGCGACCTGCGCTCCACGGACCGCGAGCTGGCCGCCAGTCTCGTGCTGGTGGTGCAGCAGCGGCTCGGCACCGGCGCCAAGTGGATGATGCCGCAGGGCCGCCACCAGTCGGGCGAGACCATGAGACAGGTGGGTGGCGGCCCCCGTCCACGGGTGTGGCCGGGGCGGCGGCGCGGCGCCGCGGACGGTTGTATCGGCGGGTGTCTGTGTTTGCGTATTTGATATCTCATATCTGATATCTGGTGTCCAGACTCGGGGCTGGGAGGTATCATTGCATGTGGATTGCAGCTGTCAGGGATTTGCCTGCCGCTACCAGCACCAGCCAGGCACCGCCAGCTCAGACTGCGACAGCTGCCCCGTGTCGTTGTTTGTCCTGTGTGGTGTTCTGTTGCCCTGCGTCATGCGGCAGCTTGTGCGTCGAAGCGTCCCTCGTCAGCCAGCGTCCCGTGCTTTGGTCTGTTTGTGTCGTAGGCAGTACCCTGCATGTAGATGTCCCGTCCAGTGTGCCAAATGTTGTCCTGTTTATTGAACAGATTTAGTATTGATTGCTTAAATGGCCACGCGACCATATTGTTGATGTTAATGTTATTTGTTTCATGGTTATCTTAATTTATTGTTTATTGTCCTGAATGTTGGTCGGTGTGCGGGAGGGAGTCTATCATGTTGAATGGTCGTCTCCCCTGCGGTGTATTAAACAGTATCACGCGTGCCCCGAGACCTGAGTATTCATGTCTGTGGGTTGAACTGAATAGGGCCTGTATGACTGAAGAAGTCTCAAACCTTCACTAGTTTCCTGAAAATTGAGTCCAGCAGTGCTGTGTCCAGTTCGTTAGCTCATTGTGTCGGGCAGACTTTTGTACCAGTCTGTGTTGGGTGCCGCATCTTTGTCGGGTGCCGTGCTCTGTGTCGGGTGTCCTGCTGCGTTGGGTGCCGTCTTCTATGTCGAGCAGACCACCCCGTGCGTCGACCGGTACGCTGTGCGCTGCGGCAGGCTGGTCCGTGCGTCGGCCGGTACGCTGTGCGCCGCGGCAGGCTGGTCCGTGCGTCGGCCGGTACGCTGTGCGCCGCGGCAGGCTGGTCCGTGCGTCGGCCGGTACGCTGTGCGCCGCGGCAGGCTGGTCCGTGCGTCGGCCGGTACGCTGTGCGCCGCGGCAGGCTGGTCCGTGTGTCGGCCGGCACGCTGTGCGCCGCGGCAGGCTGGCCCGTGTGTCGGCCGGTACGCTGTGCGCCGCGGCAGGCTGGTCCGTGTGCCTGGCTGTGCTCGGGCTGAACTCTGCTCTGGTTCCGGCAGACGGCGGAGCGCACTCTGCAGACGGTGGTCGGACCGGACGTCCGCGCCCGGTTCCTGGGCAACGTGCCCTGGGGCTTCTACAAATACAAATACCCCAAGGCGCTGCGCCGCGAGTCCGGTGCCATTGGCGGCAAGGTGAGACCCATAACTGGTGAGAGCAAATGTTGGCATTTTTGATAGCTCTTGTTGTCTTAGATGAAGCCGTGTTCCTCTCGTGCCACGAATAGATCGGACCCAAGCCTCGTTACGAGCTCACACGTTTTTTACGGCGATACCACCCGTACAAGAAGAGAATATATATCCATATATAACATGTTTTATATGGATATATGTCCTGTATACATATAGTGTGTGTGCGTGTGCCGTGCATTCTGAAGCACCAGCTGGGCGGCAGCCGTGTGCGGTGTGTGGCCGGGGCTGATGCGGCTGGCGTCAGCGGCGAACGACGCTCATCCCGCCCTGCCGCAGGTGTTCTTCTTCAAGGCCGTGCTGTCGGGCGGCGCCGTGGAGCCGGCCGCCGACGAGGTGGCCGACTACAAGTGGCTGACGCGGGGCGAGCTGCGCCAACAGCTGCTCTCCAGCTACTACCGCTCCGTCCACCGCTTCCTGGTGGATGAGGACTAACGCGCGCGCGAGAAAGAGCGGCTCCCGAGGACGGCCAGGCGCCGGCTCACTGGTGGTAGACTGACTGGTTGTGCGACGCGGCGGCGTCCAGTCCGGCTGCCGCGCCGGGCGCCAGCTCGCTGACGGTAGACTGACTGGCTGTGCGGCGCGGCGGCGTCCGGTCCGGCTGCCGCGCCAGGCACCGGCTCACTGACGGTAGACTGACTGGCTGTGCGGCACGGCGGCGTCCGGTCCGGCTGCCGCGCCGGGCGCCGGCTCGCTGACGGTAGACTGACTGGCTGTGCGGGGCGGTGGCGTTCGGTCCGGCCACCGCGCTGGGTGCCTGCACGCCGTTGATGCCGCGGCGGTCCACTCATGATCACTCATCGGAAGGCGTGGTTCTCATGCGTCTCGGCCGTGCGGCGTCGAGGCACCGTCTCAGGTCACCAGCATTATGTCGACGGGATCGGCGCATGTGGTGCGTTGGCTTAAAGTGCTGCATGTGTGAGCGTGGTGCAATATATTTGTGCGTTGAAGATGACAGGATCATTTACACTGCTGCCATGATTTCACGGGCGTCGGTTTTCAGATGACACGGAGGGCAGTGGTTGGCACACCCGGCTGGCATGCGGCCGTTAAAACCCCATATACACAAACGGTCGCCATCACTGAGCGCTTGGTATGGCGGCGGTCCGACGGCGCCCCAGCTCAAACCAGACCCAGGCGCGGCAGCTCAAACCAGACCCAGCGCCTTGTGGTTGGTCCACAGCCAGTTGTGGTACAGATTCAGCATGTGGTCTTGCGGTCGCACCTGCTTCCACTCGCCGAGGCAGAAGATGCGGTACGAGTCATTGCCATAGCGACCGATGCCGTACAGCTCGTTCGGGTATTTCCAGGTCTTGGAGACGAACTCGTCTGAGATGTGAGGGGAGCACGTCACCTCATCTCGGCGATACCAAACTCCCAGCACATGCTGCACACGTCACTTTTGGTTCCCTCGGCACGCAAGCCGGTCTGCTGTTAACTGTCTTATGTAGCGAAAGGCAATTACGACCAGACAGCGAAAGCGCTCATTGACTTGTCTGAGCCGGTAGGTCAACACAATCTCACGCAGAAATAAAATGTTCCCCAGGTCATTGTTAACAGAAACGTCAGAGGCGACTTTTGTCCAATTCGTTCAAAATCGACACGAAAACCGACATATGGGGCGATTAGGGCTCCTTTGAAGTGATCACTTCAGGGCTATGGGATGAAAGTGAGTTGGGAGTGTTGGGGCAAGAGAGCATGCAAGTGTGAGCTCTCCGCTATTGAGATGTACCCCACGCAGGACCCCCTTTTTGCTGTTTAAGCGGACGCTCGGGCGGGGTGCTAGCCAGGGAATCACGCCCCCTTCTGGCTGATGCACGTAGCCTTCCCCGGATAAACAGGGTGCTGCGAAGACTCAGGATAAGCATGAATGATGAAAGCAGGGCGTATAATGAAAACGGTAGTCATCAATATTTATGATAGCAGCAGTCGTACCTGAGAACCTGAGTCGCACCTGAGAACCAGTGGCGGCAGTCGTACCTGAGAACCAGCGGTGGCAGTCGTACCTGAGAACCTGAGTCGCACCTGAGAACCTGAGTCGCAACTGAGAACCAGCGGCGGCAGTCGTACCTGAGAACCAGCGACGGTAGTCGTACCTGAGAACCAGCGGCGATAGTCGTACTTGGGAACCAGCGGTGACAGTCGTGCCTGAGAACCAGCGGTGACAGTCGTGCCTGAGAACCAGCGGTGACAGTCGTGCCTGAGAACCAGCGGTGACAGTCGTACCTGAGAACCGGACGATGCACTGCGTGCGCCGCTCGGCCAGCCCCAGAGGCCGCAGCAACTCCATGACGTCGGCCTCGTCGGCGTCGCGCGCCGCCCTCGCATCCGGCCACCGCTCGAAGAACGTCTCCAGCATCGGCAGCGCCTGCCGACCTGGCGACGGCCGACACAGGTCAGCTGAGGTCAAACGTCAGCACAACAAAGGTCAGCCGAGGCCAGGGGCCAGCACATTCGCCCAAGCCGGCCCCAGCGGTGACCGCGTACTACCGACCACCAGCCGCGCCCCCGACTCGTGCCTGCCCCGGTTTCATAGGGTGGAATCCGGGTACGTTATGCACTGCCCTTACCGGCCGTCTTGTTGAGGAAGATGGTGCCGATAAGCAGCTTCCAGGGGTCGTGGTAGTAGGTCTCCTGCATCAGCTTGTAGGGCGAGCGGGGCGGCACCCAGCGGCGGCGGCCGGACAGCGACACTGCCGGGACAGACCCAGCGGTGGGTCAACGGGTCACACTGGGCGGCGGCCGGACAGCGGCGCTGCCGGGACAGACCCAGCGGTGGGTCAACGGGTCACACTGGGCGGCGGTCGGACAGCGGCGCCGCCGGGACAGACCCAGCGGTGGGTCAGTGGGTCAAACTGAGCGGTGGACGGACGATGGCGCTGCCGGACGGACCCAGCAGCGGGTCAGCGGGTCACACTGGGCCGCGACCGGACAGCGGCGCTGCCGGGACAGACCCAGCGGTGAATCAGTGGGTCACACTGAGCGGCGGCCGGCGGCCGGACAGCGGCGCTACCGGGACAGACCCAGCGGTGGGTCAGCGGGTCACACTGACAGGCGTTCCGGACAGCGGCACTGCCGGGACAGACCCAGCGGCGGGTCAGCGGATCACGCTCGGTGCGACCGTGGGGCGCCCCGCAGGCAGGCAGGCACGGATGGTATCGGCGATCGCCGCGCCGGTCGGCCCGTGACTCGACGACCAGCATTGTATAGTATCAGAGCAATCTCGTGTTAAAGAGACAAGGAAGATCCCAGTACAGGCAGCCTCCGACCATGAGGAGATAGTGGGTCATGTTAGTTCTCTCCTTTGCTTGGTGGTAAATTTGACGCGGAAGAAATGCAATTTCAACAGCAGCTTAAAACAAGGCCCACCAATATGGAATATTTCACGAACTTCACTTCAACTGTCTCCTTCCAATGTCAGCATTTTGGACCGCGATTATTAGCTGCTGGCGAATGTTAAGCGCTCTCTCGGCCATTACCAGCACCGCCAACTTCTGTCCGACACTTACTGCCAGATCGAGTGAAGATGAGAATCCCTTTGTGAAGGGAACGTGCGCTTTCGTTTCGGATGGTATTGAGATAGAAAGGCGCTGTAGAAACGTTCTGGCATCGCTTTCCGTTCCAAATCCCGTCAGGTCAAATTTAGCATCGCAATAACCCGACGTTGGGCTGTGACCACATCAGCCATGCTTCCGCCGCGCCGCCGACCACAAAACAAACAAATCTTTCGCACGTGTATTAACAAATAATTATTGTCACGCCAGTTCCCAACGCACAATCCAGGTGTGCGGACGGTCACCACCGTCAGCAATCGACGCCCGTCCTCACGCGGCTCACATGATTAATCGCCCTCACGGCTGTCAATAAAGCGGTAAAAGCGCCGCCGCCGGCCCTCAGCTGCGGGCCCGCTGCCAGCTGGAGAGAGGCCGCTTCGACTCACCCTGCACGCGCCCACCGGCCGCCAGCAGACGCCGCCGCGCGAAGCTGAACTTGAGCTTAATCTTCTGGTTCACGTCGTCGGTGGTCACAGAGGCGGACTTCGGCTTGCGGGGCAGGCCACGCGCGCGCTTGATGGCCTTGGCGATGCGCGCGCTGTGCGAGTGGGCGTGAGCCGCCGGCCGCGGCGTGGTCGCACCGCGCCGCTTATACGCCATGCCGACCTGCATGTGGGCGTTGAAGCAGAAGAGCTCGGGGTCCAGGTCACTGCCGATCGTCTCCAGGTAGTGGCGCACCTCGTTCTGCGAGCGGAACTTCTTGCCCATTGGACTGTAATGGGACAGGAGTGTTAGGCTGCGCGGGGCGGCGCGGCGGAGACGGCCGGCGTCGGCGGTCTGGCGGCATTGACGGCAGAGCGCCGTGGGTTAACACAATCGTCACGTTTCTTAAATACAAAAGTGTGACACACATGCGACACATGCATGTGTCACACGTTGTCACACGTGTGCGTTTGTGATGTGGAATGTTTCACTCAAGCAAATAAAGACCATCACATTTGGTCAAACTTTGATGAAATCAGCAATACTAACTCAAGAACTAATCTGGTACAATCAGTTCCAGCCCATTCAGCTAAGAATAATGCAATTGAAAAGGTTGAAAATCAGGGCCAATTCGCGAATGCCTCTGCACCAAAAGTCGTGTATCGTCACATCCAGAGGCATGCAACACTGGCTCTATCCACTCTCTCCCTCTATTGTTACATCATCTGGCACCTGCCACTGCCCGGTATGCGTGCTCCTGTCAGCCGGGTAGCTTGCCGCCGACCAAGTCCCGTAGACGACCGCTTGTTGTTTATTGGTGTTTTTGGGCGCGCCAACTGCAGTGGTCATTTGGCGCCCAGTGTGCCCAAAGCACAGTCTGCAGAGCACATATTGGGCATATGAACGTGTCCGACCCTCACTTGTACACGTAGACGTCCCACTTGCCGGCCGAGACACCGGAGGAGCGCTGCACGCACTTGCGGGTCCAGCCCTCGGGCAGCGACGGGTCGTCGAAGTACACCCCATCTGCCGGCCGGACAATGGTACATACCCAGATCAGTCTGGGTACGTGCTGTCTGCCATCCATGCAGCATGCCCGACCCTGAGATCATGCACACACCATCTGCGTGTCAAGCTCTCACAGCTTTGGAAGGTGCGCTCGTCAGATCCAACCACTGGTTACACAGCTGGCCCTGGTCTGCCCAGCTCCATGGTGGTCCGCTGGCGAGGTGGACTGTACGCAGATGGCACAGATGTGGCACCAGGGCCTGAACTGTACAATGACTCAGCAACCACATCCCCAGTCAGGTAGCAGAGCTCTCCTCAGTCTTGGGCTGGTTGTGCAGTGTAGCCAGTGTACACAGCATGTCAAGGGCACCATGACTGCCTTTGATCAGTTGAACCCATGTCACCTTGCAGACAAGAGGCCACATGACCCACCCACCCACCTGTCAATCAGGGGTCAGGGGCCACCAATCCCCCCCTGTTTGGATGATGCACTCATCTTCTTGCTACTGCTTGGCAAAGCCCTCTATCTCAGGTATTAATGGATTGGGTAGGCCTGTCATAAAGCTTCCCTTACATTTTGCTTTGATGACTGTGACATTACATGTCAATACTAGAGTTCCAGTTAAAGCATGAGCATGACTGAAATATACATACTTAACAGCAATTAGACATCATTTCCATTTGAACAGCATCATTCAGGCAGCAAACGCTTCAAGCACGCAAATCCATACCTTCTGTGTCTGGTTTGCGTGGCACAAAAGTTTCCTTGCTCATGGTGTAATCTGCAAGAAAAGGTTACCTGAAAAACATTGAAATCAGGCATATAACACTCATGGGTAAATCTACACTATGTCCACTTGTAATATATCAAGTTAGGAGCTACACCAAACTGACTAATACTCAGTAAGGTTTATTGCATATATAGAGGGGACCCCTTGATAAAAAGCATTTCTGCTATAAGCATTCACACAAAGCAACACATGTTGCATAAGCCCAGGCCCCACTACCTGATAATTCAGGAGCATTAGGATAATTACAAGGTGAAAACTTTGTAGGGCATATTGCTGGGTATGGTCCATCCTGCTCTTTGATGTCACCTGACCTTTAAACTGGCTGCTGCCACTGGTCTCAGGCCCTCTGGTCAGGAGTAAATAAAAAAACCCTTAACATCTTATGCTGACATAGGTGGACAAATATCTTATGACAAGCCCTCCAACCCATGATGCAACCAAGGCAGGCATCATTGCTTGGACAAGGTTCCATAAGATGCTAAGCAAAGCAAGGTGTACTTTGAACATGTACAAATGTATGTGCATGTATGCTATAAATCCAAGAGCCAGGTGTTTGATGGATGATCACAACCAATTTCAGTACATAGTCAATCTCTTATGAAAATATGATGCTGCAAGTCATTTTAGGTGCATATATTCTGTCAAGGTTTTGTTCATATGACAAATAAGCCTGAAATTCACTGCAAGATGGCTAAGCCAGTGTTCCACACAAGTGGCTAAATGATTCAGCACACCAGTGTTTTGCAGGCACAAAATGTAGTCAAAGCATTTGTTACAAATTGGTCAATGGCTAGTGCAAAACATGGACCAATTGTCAATGAAACAATAGCATTACCAACATTTGGACTGCAACACTATCAAATGTGGACATGTCTCATTTGATGACAATAGTATCAACAGTAAGATGTTCAACAATACCTACTGGCCTTATCTTTCCGCTAAGATGCTTGCTCTAAACGTTCTCAGATGCCACTGCCGCATTGAGTGAAAAGGCGGGTGGGTCCATTTGTTCCCAGTGAAACAGAGTGCGTAAATTAGGAGAGGGTCGTATTTCACCAGTAGGTAGCCCAGGGCCCTTCCTTCGTATTCTCGCCGCACTTCGGCGGCCTCGGACCAATGCCAGGGAACGAAGGGCCTTGGGAACGACAAAAATGTCCCACTCAAGGCCAGTTCCACTGCTGTGCCTCCACGACGCATACACCGCCTCGACCCTCACGCCGACTACATGCACGATGCGTCGCTTTTAGCATCTATGGAAATCAAGGTCTATTTGTTACTGCAAGAACCCCAACAAAGGTCGCTCAGCAAATCTCTACTTGGATAATAAGTTGTGCACTTTTTCGTGATCAAAAATATTTAGAACCTATTTTTCAACAAAGAACTATGATTAAATAGAGAAAAGAGCTTTATTACGCGAATATTTATCAAGAGCTATAAGTAATACTCCCGCCAAATACATATATGACCGAGCAAGGACATAACAGTGAAAACGAGTCGTGCTTCTGTTGTGCACGAGGTAAGCGAGGGAGACGTGTCGTAACTTGTTACACCTGCGTTTAATTGCGTATGACGTGCATTCCTGCTAGTGGTTTTTAGTAGGGGCTAGAATAGGCGTCTTTAATTGCATGCGAGTGTATGGTGAGATAGAGGTACCTGTTTCGAGGGTACTCAGATGGGTTATTCATGGATGAAATGCACCCTAGAAATTCTAGAATATAGATGGGAATATAGTACACATGCCTCTGCCAGTTTCGTAGCGCACGAGCAACGAAATTATTGTTATCATTGGGTGTTGTGACATTAGTGTTACTCATAAGTGTGGTGACTGCCCATAACTCATGGCACTTTCCTGTTTGAACTGGTTATGTAACATAGCTATGAAGTGTGGGTAGGATATGGTTGGCATCAGTGCCACCGAGTTTGTGCCTATGGGTGTATTTCCAGATTAAGATGACTTAAGCAGCTGTGAGCTATGGTGGTACAGGTCTGTTTTGATGCAATTGTTTTCAATACTGATGGTAGGTGCATTTGTGCATGTCCTCTTCTAGGTACTACATAGAGCTGGAAATCAACCATCTCTCAAAGATGCCTCAGGTAAAGCATGAGCCAAATCCAGGCAAGGGATATATATCAGAGTATGAAAAAACTATACAAAGAAACATAAAAGAGAGAATGGAGATGCTGAAAAAGCTGAATTTAGATGTTATAAAGGAAGAAGCTAAGGCAGCCATCTCACCACCCAAGAAGAAGCGGAAGGTGTTCAGAAGAGCAAAACCAGAACCGTGAGTCATTGTAGCTTATCCATGCTTATGTGATGTATCCTTGGATGTCTTTTCTGAGAGCATGAAGTGTGGACAGGGCAGCATTCAGAGCAGTGTTGGAAAAATGTTTTCATGTTGGCTTTGCTTCACTGTAAGTAATAATCTTCCTTTCTATGTGCCAATGGATGATTCCTCTTGTTTTGTTTTGTATTTCTGGCTCAATTTGGGCCAAAAAGGTATTGTCTTTTTGGGATTGTTTGCTTTAAATAGGGGTACTAGTACATTGGGATTCCAACCAAAAGTCCAGGGCCTTTCAACTAAGTCCACTGTCTTTTTGATCTTGCATATAAAGTGTGCACTACAAGTCTGGCCTGCATGTGGAGCTCCTGACCTTTTTACTTCAACCATGGCATGCTTCAGGATGCTCATTACAACCAGCTTAGTCATTGCTTTTCTGTTTATTTTAATTCATGAAGTAAGTCCATACAAGATCAGCAAACTCTTCTTTGTATGATGTGTTGTTTGCATCCAGTCCATTGGTCATAAGGAGTAGCCAGTGATTGAGCAGCACCACTCTGTAGTGATTATCTTCTGTTAGGCATTCTGGTGAATGCCAAGGCACTGCCTGTCACTTGTGCCAGTTTGTCAGCTGGTGGCTATTCCGTCTGTCACTGGTGCCCATCTGTCGGCAGGATGAGCTCGGTGCCAACCCGGCGCAGTCTGCGGATTAGCAAGCTGGAGCCGAGCGGCGAGCCGCTGCCCGAGCGGCCGGTCACACCGCCGCCACCCCGCAAACTCGGTCAGTGGTGCTCCATCACAGTCGTCCCGCGGCCCCCGGCGGAAGGGGGCCCGCGGGACCTGGCATGAGTGGATTTCCTGTCGCTGCTGGGCCCTGGTCGGGGACCTTCGGTTGGGTGCCGCCAGGACCCGGTCGAAGTGTGGACTCCTGGTGCTGGCTTCCGGTAAGGTCTCCGGTGCCGTTGGACCGACCGGTCCGGGCGCCGCGCCTGACCTGCCGGGTTCCATACCCACGGCCAGCTGGGTGTTTGCCGCGTACACATCAGTCTGCTGCCACACACCCATGACAATCAGCATAACGTTGGCTCTGCCTAGGCTGCAAATGTTTGCCCTCCCTGGAATTTTTAGTTACCCTAGCGGCATTATTTGCTGCGCCAGGCCGCCCTACGGGGCGGAGGGGGGAGGGGGGAGGTGTCTCTAGGAAGTGGCGGCGGACCCGCCCCGCTGTGAGACGCTCCAGGACGGTCGGGTAAGAGGTGGCGTATCCCCATCTGTGCTCAGGGAAAGAGACGGTGCAGGACGCGTTGGTGGATGGCTCGACCGCGGACGGCGCGCTCGGCTTCATCGAGGACATCAAACAGTGGCTGAGCAAGCAGGAGCGGCGACAGGACATCCCTGCCGACAGGTAAGATCATCAGGACATCCCCGCCGACAGGTAAGATCATCAGGACATCCCCGCCGACAGGTGACGGTATCAGGGCATCCATGCCGACAGTTAATAGCATCAGGGCCTCCCCGCCGACAGCCAACAGCATCAGGATGTCCCCATCGACAGGTAACAGTATCCGGATGTCTTGTCTAGTAATTGATGGACTATCACCAGCCAGCTGCTCCTGGTATGGGCCCGTTACCGAAGCGTCGCGTACCGTCATTAAAACGGTGTGGTGTCCGATTACCCTGTCGCTCCTGGTATGCTGCAAGACGAGTTGTATTACCATGTGTTGTTTACATTTCTGTGGTGTTTTTTTTGGGTTGCGACCTGTCGTCTTTGTCAGTTTGATACATGGGTGCCACATGACTATCGTAGTCGGCGCTCCCAAAGCCAAAATCATCATCGTCAATTTGACATCAAGTGCTGTTGGCACAGCGGATTCAGTTCTTGTATCGCGTGCATATTCGTGGCAGTGGTCCTCTGGCTGTCACCACTGCGTTTTGGCGGTGTCGTGCTGAGCGTTGACTCGGCTCTGCGTGGCTCGGGGCGTCCCCACAGCTACACCCAGGCGCTGGCCAACATGACGGTGACGGAGGACACGTGGACCAAGGTGACGCCGCAGCGCATCTGCTCCATGGCCTTCTGTCCGCTGCAGGACAAGCTGGTGGTGGCGGCCGGCGACAAGCGCGGTGTGCTCGGTACGTGTCGGTGCTGCCGCCAGTGTCAGTGTCAGTTGGCAGTGTCAGTGTCATTTTGCGGCGTCGCCGGCTCTTCTGCCTGCCGGAGTTGTACGGCATGTTCCCGGCCTGTGGCGCAGCACATGGAGGACCAGATCAGAGGGAGAACCGGGCGGAAAGATGGTTTCACATCCCGGCGGGTACCCCGGCGGAGAAGTCATTGTGTCGACTTCATGTTAGACCGACTCCGGACCTGCAATGCACGGTCGGGGTAGTCGGTGTATGTACGAATCGTGGTGCGCTCATGATGCGTCTGGATGTCTGTGCGTGGGTGATGAAGCCTACCCATCGCCTCTGACGCCGTGGAGGCCGGCGGACCTCGTCTCGTGTGGAGATGTACCCCACCCCGTCGGTGGTGAGGTTGACCCGCCGCTTCTGACGTCGTCGAGGCCGGCGGGCCCCGTCTCGTGTGGAAATGCACGCCCCCTCCGACTCCCGCACCACACCGCCCCGCGCCGTGTCCGACGGCCTTGGTTCTGCGCGCCGCGGCAGGCCTGTGGGACGTGTCGCTGGCGGACGCGGGCGTCCACCAGCTGGCGGCGCACAACCGGCACATCAACGGCCTCAGCTTCGCACCGCATGATGGCCATCATTGCTTCACCACCAGCTACGACGGCATCACGCGCCGCCTCGACCTGCAGAAGATGGAGCTGGATCAGGTCAGCGGACTGGTCGCGCCGACTGACGCGACGCTGCCGACACACGTCCGGCAGTGGGCTGGTTGTAATGATACCAGCGTTCACGATTCTGACATTGTAGTTGATTTATCATTGTAACATGTATTTTATGTTACATTCGCATATTGTTGCTACGGAGCATCGTGAGAACATAAGGATTCAGTGCCCCGATAGGTCATGACGTCGTTACGTGAACATCTTTGTGTGACCCTGTTAACACGCACTAGGGTGGCCGGCTAGGCACCCTTTGCTTGGGTGGGGGGTTAATTTGACCCCCCTGAGATATCGGGAACTAAGGGAGCCAAGGACACCAAATTCACAAGGCATGTTGACCTGTATGTGAACTCACTGAGGTCAAAGTTGGAGATTCCTAGGCCATGACCTCCGGGTCAAATAATATCAAATAAGGTTAACTTCCAGGTTGGTCTCCGAGGCGCCCCCAGAACCTACATAACTGTAAGCAAAATTCTCGTGTTCAGTTAAGGTCAGTGACCTTGTTTGATTTTTTAGAGGTCATGGTGACCAAAATCATGCAAGACCTCTGAGTTTTGCATTTTGATGAGCAGCAAAGATTACGTTAGGCAGTATGTTTTTAGAAGCAAAATGTCGACCCCGGTCATTTTAGGTCAATAACCTATTCTGACCTTTAAGAACTCCATGGAAGATCAATAATGCGGTTCGTGTTATCAATAAATTCGAAATGAGCACCAGAAACTATCGCATACTGCAAGCCCTAGAGTAAAAGGCAAGTTGGTTTGACCTTGGTCTGACCTTTGTACCTGACCTCAGGTCAACGCAATTTGCTCATTCAATATTGGTGTTGCCTTAGAAAGCACCTCAGAGATGTATGGCTTCGCCTAACACTCCGTTGTTGCATCAGATTTAACGATTCCCTATAAATTTACTTCGCTGAAACCATGGCCTGACTTTGACCTGCCATAGATCAGCGACCTTACAAGGTACATCTAAATTTTTGATGCGTAACGATCCGCTATTCATTTGTCTACAGCTATGCAAAATTTGGCACGGCTGCGCCGCGCTGTTTGAAAACCATTCTGGAAAAAAATATTCCGGGGGTGGGTCAATTTGACTTCCACACCCGAGCGCGTGTTAGCCAATGCGTTAATGAGATTATAACGTTATGACATTGCGCCTTGTTATAACAGTAAGCTGTAGAACGATCTTCATGGTTCAGGTGCCGGGCTAGTGCTTCTGCTGAACGTTTTCTTACGTTCGCACGGCCGTTTTCGGCCGCCCTGACCCCGCGCGCCCCGCCAGGTGTACGCGACGGCCGGCTCGGACGATCTGTACCTGATCCACCACGCGCACGTGGGGTCGGCCGGCCTGCTGATCGGCCGCAGTGACGGGCAGCTGGTGCGTGTCGACCTGCGCTCCTCCGACAGCGTCCTGCACAGGGTCGGCTCCGGAGACGTGCGCTACATCAGCGTGCACCCGAGCCGCGAGCACACGGTCGTCACCGTCGAGAGGCCCAGGTGGGACCGGACGGCGTGGAAGGCCGATGGCGCCGGCTTCGCTGCGACCCCGGGGTGGCCTGGGACGTCATGGAAGGGCTGCATCTCTTTGCACTGCTGACATGCTCTGCCAGACTTGGATAGCGTGTGCTCGTTTGCTTTTTGTAAGGCACTTCCAGTGTTTTGCCATGCCAAAATCCCAATGAAATTATACGCAACTTTGTGATTCGCTCAGTGCAGCCGACGCTAGAGTATCTAGTGAAGCATACTAAAACGAGAATTGAGCTCATCATCGTCGATAACCGGACAGAATGTGCCCATGTCACTGCTACGCTTACGTTAGGTGGATTTTGGTACGTTAAAAATCGGACAAGGTCAGATCAGTAGGAGGAGCGTCGGTGAACCTTTTAAGCGTCACGTGGTGCCGTTGTTCTGGACACATGAGCACTGCGGTGTGACCGATGTCTGGGAGCCAGTGTGACCGGTGTTCGGGAGCCAGTGTGGCCGGTGTCCGGGGGCCAGTGTGGCCGGTAGCCGGGAACCAGTGCGGCTGGATGTGTCCGGGAGCCAGTGTGACCGGTGTCTGGGAACCAGTGTGGCCGGTGGCCGGGAGCCAGTGTGGCCGGTGGCCGGGAACCAGTGTGGCCGGTGTCCTGGGGCCGGCGCGACCGGTGTCCGGGAGCCGGTGTGGCCGGTGGCCGGGAGCCGGTGTGACCGATGTCCGGGAGCCGGCGTAACCGGGATCCGGGAGCCGGTGTGCCATTGCCTGGGGACGGGTGACTGGTGTCCCGCCGGAGAACCGTTCCCACGGAGCCGTCTGCCGCTGTTCCAGCACCATCAGCCTGTGGGACATGCGCCGGCTGAAGGGCGAGCGGAGCGCGCTGCAGCGGGTGGAGCTGCCGCGCGCCTGCAGCAGCGCCAGCATCAGCCGGCGCGCCGGCGACGCCCTGGTGGCGCTCAGCAGCGACGACACCATCCGCCTGTACAGCGGCCTCAACAGCGGCGACATGCTCCGTGAGTAGCCGCTGCCGGCGGCGGCGACCGGACCCCGGCAGTCGACCGGGCGTGAGTGGCGACTGTGCCGGCGGCGGCAGTCGGACCCGGGGCAGTCGACCGGCGTGAGTGGCCACTGTGTTGGCAGCGGTGGACGTCAGTCCAGGGGTAGTTGCGGAGCTCCGACGACAGGTTCTTTTGTGTTGGTGGTCAATGACGGTACACCATGGAGCTAATAATGGATTGTCCCGACGCAATCACTCTGTGGGACACATCAGTACAATTTTGTATCATCCGCCTAGATATGTTTTGTCTGCCCCCTCCCCTCCCCTCCGTCTCCAATGTTCTGACATGTCATCGTCAAGCGCCAGTTTTGTCGTCGTTTGACTGACGGTGATGATATTGACTCGTGGCGTGCCACCCTCAGCGACCAAGACGATCCGACACAACAACCACACCGGCCGGTGGCTGACCACGTTCAAGCCGACCTGGCTGCCGGACAGTGACGACCTGTTCCTGGTGGGCTCCATGGACCGGCCCAGACGGGTGAGAGATGACCCGGTCCAGACCGGGACGGCCGGGCCGCCAAAGCCGAACCCTGTAGAGTGAGGACTCCGGTCTGTGTTGGAATGTTTCCGCTGTTCTTATTGCTGGCAATACAGTCAGTGTGGGCTCGAATCGCACTTATATTCTTTGGGGTGTTTGGAATGTCTGGAACGATTTGGGCCACCAGACAGGGGGGCAAAACCAGGGTTTGGGTTTTGAAAGCGAATGCAAAGCTAAGAATGTGGCATGAAGCCGAAGCCGGCCGTGGAAAGTGTCTCGAAGCCGAATCCAAAGCTTTTGAAAAAATTGGCTATGAGAAGCCGAGTCCGAAACCTTCTTCGTTCCCATAGCGCTGCAGGCCACACATTTTTCTCTATTCTCAGTATTTGATACGTGTCAGTTATGTTTTACATTCTCCAGTTCAACCAATTTTCTAACAAGGACTAGATTTTCGTGGCCAAACTAGTTGGAAGATAACTTGTAATTCGCAGCACTAGCTTTGTTACTGGCAAATGTATGGCATTGCCATTATTAAGGTGTACCAGCTGCCGTCGTCGGCCGAAGCCACGGTCTGTGTTGGTCTGCGGGCGGGACATGGCCTGTGTCGGTCTGTGGGCGGGACATGGTCTGTTGGTCTGCGGGCGGGACATGGTCTGTGGTCTGTGGGCGGGACATAGTCTGCGCTGGTTTGCGGGTGGGACATGGTCTGTTGGTCTGTGCGCGGGACCTGGTCTGTGTTGGTCTGTGCGCGGGACATGGTCCGCGTTGGTCTGCGGGCGGGGCATGGTCTGTTTTGGTCTGCGGGCGGGACATGGTCTGTATTGGTCTGCGGGCGGGACACACTCGCGTGTGGCCGTGCGAGGCCGGCCCGCCGCCGTCCGCCGCCTCAGCTCGGCTTTCGTGCTGCAGATGGAGGTATACGACCGAGCCGGCCCGGTGTACCACTACCTGATGGGAGAGGAGCTGCAGTCGGTGTGCTCCACCATCGTGTGCCACCCCACCCAGCCGGCCATAGCCGGCGGCAACTCGTCCGGACGCGTCTACGTGTTCCAGTGAGGGTCGCCTCAGCTGGTGCCGCGTGGCTGGGCTCCACGGACGCCTGACCCCTGGACCGGGTCCGCGCCTTGTCACCGGCTGAGGGTGCGGGCGCATGTGTCACCAATCGGAGGCGTGCAGTATGGCTCGCCGACTCGTGCGAGGCTTACCATGACTCCAGTACCTGCATGCTCACCGGTAATCGAAATTTCTCCAACGTTTGATAGCCTTGATACAACATTGCGGTAGAAGCCTTCCGCACCACCGGATGTAGTGGTTCAATAGTTTTTACGATGTTGTAGTTTAATTAGTTCACTTCAGTAGGTAATGCTGCGGTGGTTTTCCAAGGTCATCTTGATTTCTAGTAGGATTTCGCGCTGTATTCCAGATCTGGGTTACACATCAAGTGCCATCAATTCTTATAGAAGCATGCACAAAAGACGGAACGTGCGATGTTCTATACACTAGTGTAGAATGGTTCGAAATGTGACATCGTGCGATGTTTTATGCACTAGTGTAGTATAGTTCGAATTTCAGCATCGTGCGATGTTTTCTATATGAGTGTAAGGTAGGCAATACGATGCTGCTTTTTCTAAATACATTTTGATAGCTATGCCGGTCCTTGTGGAGAAAGGGATGAAAATGTCCGGTACCGCCTCCCAGTCCACCGCGAGACCGCTCGCCATCGTTCACGTTTGCCTTGACAGACATCGTCAAGACATTTGAAAAACGGCTCGCTCGTGTGCTGTGAGCACCACCAACGGTAAGACAACTGACGCTGCTGTTGACTGCAAATAAGACCAACGCTTTCGACCGATTCTGCCCATGCGTTGGCCGCCACACAGCGGAAGGCGTGGGCGTCTAGCCCGGCTGTCCCTGCCGCTCAGACCGCATGGGTCAGAGCATCGCTGGCTGTGCAGCGCTGGTTACGACCATGTGCAGCACTGATTATGATTATACGAAGTTAGTGAAGGTCGCCAACTCCTCCAGCTGATTGTAAGATGTCTCATAAGCGCAAAATCACTCAGTCTGGTGATGGTTACATGCGCGTCTGGACCGGACGGAACTGGATGGAGCGTCATAAAGCGAGACGGGACCGGAAGGTGCCACTTCAGACTAGACCTGGCGATACTAGACCAGGCGGGATGGATGGAACCGGACGAGGTCTGATGAGATCATACGAGACTGGACGGAAGCAGACAGAACCAGGTGGCAGCGTACGGGACCGTGCGGCAGCGGACGGGACCGACGCAACGGACGCAACTGAATGAGACATAACTGACCGGACGCAGACCGGACGAAATCAGAAGATGCCTTGTCGAACTGAACAGATTCAGACGGCATTAAACGTCACCGAAAGGAACCGGATGAGACAGAACGGACCACACAACCGGAACGGATCGGGCGGAACCGGACAAAATATCATAAGGCGAGGCGGAACCAGGACAAACCAGGCGCGACCGGGCGGGACCAGACCAGACCGGTTGAAGCCGGATGAGACCTCATGAGACCAGATGGGAACGGATGCAACAGGACACGACCAGACGGGACGGGACTGGACCAAGAGGTACTTGGCTTAACCGGACAGGACCGGACGGGGCAGACGAGACCGGACGAAATCACATGGAACAGGACAGCATTGGACGTGACCGAACGGAGCGCAGTGCTACTGAACTGGATCAGACGGACAGGATGGGACGCTAAAAGGTCCAGATGGGATCAGACGGAACCGGATGGGACCGGGTGACCCAGATGGGACCAGATGGGACTGGACGAGACTGGACGGTACCGGACGGTTCCGGATGAAACTGGACGAGACCCGATAGCATCGGATAGAACCGGACGAGATCTGGGACCGGACTAGGCCGAGCGGAGCCCGACGGGACCAGACGACTTCACGGGATGGGACGAGACTGGATGGCAGGAGCCGTGACCATAAGGAACGGAGCGGAACAGGAAGAGATCTTCGGGATTCTATGGTCACATATGGTCCCATCTGACCTCGTCTGGATCCACTCGGGACTGTCCAGTATCACCTGGTCCCGCCTGGTCCCATCTGGTTTGGTCTGGTCCCACTCCGTCTCGTCCAGCCCTGCCGAGACCTTTTCAGTCAGTCCAGTCCCGTCCAGTCCCGCCCGGTTTCATCCAGTTCCGTCCAGTCCTATACCATCGCGTCAGGTCCCGTGTGACCTGCGTCGCCCATCCGGTCTGAACTGGTCTCTCCTCATTTCGCCCGGTCCCGGCTGGGCCCATTACGCTCCATCTGGCGCCATCCGGTCCCGTTTAGTCCCGTCCGGTGTCTATCCGCCACGTCCGGTGGTGTCCGATATCGTCTGATCCCGTCCGGGTTTGGTTTGATCACTTTCAAGCCCGTTTGGTCCCACTCAGTTCGACTGGTCCGTCCGGAACCATCCGGTTTCGTCTGGTCTCATTAGGTTCCATCTGGCTACATGCGGTCCTGTTCGATCGCGCCGAGCCCGTTCGGCTCCTTCCCACCCCGCCTGGATCCGTCCCGTGCTGTCCGATCCCATGCGACATTATCAGGTTAGCGATTATTTTTGTCATGTGACGTCACAATCAGCTGTAAGTGTTTTTGACTGTTATCTTTGCACATCCAACTTCTCCTTGCATCATTATTGATTTTTTGCGGCACAATGAAGCTATGAGAGCTCGCTCATTCGCGTGCATATATGCATGCATGTAAAGCTCCTACCAAAGGCGTGGACTCGTGCGTGGATATCGTAAATAAATCGCACCGTTTGAGGTGGGTTTGATGCAACCCCCATCGGCAGTAGCGCAGGCGAGGGCCCTTGATCGTGCCGGAGGGCCCTTAACCCTAACCGTAACTCTTAATCCTAACCGGAAGGCCCCTCGGAACCTGCGATTAAGGCCCCGAAAAGTCGGCCAGAGGTCTCATTCAGGGACCACGGCCGGCAGGGCCGGGCGCTCAAATGCCAGTCAGAGGGCCCTGAGCGCTGATCAGGGGCCCACTGAGTCGATAAGAACCTATGTTTCGGTCAGACGCCAACAGTGCCGCGCAGTGGGCTCCGTGGCCGCATTGTCCTAAAGGGCCATTTCCAAAGCAGGGGCAAAGCCGGAGTCACAGCAAAACAGCCTAGCAGGTGGCCTAAAAGACGGCGAACCGACTACCAAAGGCTCGTTTGGAGGACATAAGGGCCCGAATGACTGGCTGTACGTCACATCAAAACCACAGCCAATATGGTCGTGACCTGGAATATCAGTCAGAGGTCCTCTTGCGCCGTTTTAGAAACCCCTGACACAATGCGGGTATCGAAATCGGTCAGAGACCACGGACGCTAAACAGACGACTCCACGTCCATCTGAGCCGTTGAGACCCCTTTCCCAAGCAGAAACGAGGCCGGAGCCCGCTTTTCAATGTTCGGGGCCGCTGACACAATGAGGGGCTCTTGTGTCGCTTAGGGGCCATAACACCGAACAGGAGTCATGTGGCAGCAAGTGGCTCCGAGTAGGAACAGCGTTTGAGGGGGCCCGAAAAGGGGCCGGAGGGCCTCTCGAGATCAGAGATCAAGGGCCAGATGGGATGGCTAAAGGGTCCGAACGGCTGGCTGCAGGTCATATTAAGGACCCCCGTCCACAGGGCGCGATCTCAAATTTCAGTAAGACGATTCCTTGCACCGACAGGGACCCCTGAGACAGAGCGTTCCTCTGTTTCGGCCAAAGATCACGAGTGACGAACAGTCATCTTCATGTTGGTCTGAACCCTGGGGGCCCATTTCCCAAGCAAGAACAAGACCAGGCCCGCGATTTACTTTGGTCGCACTCCTGTATCGTTCAGGCGCCCACAGTGCCTAACAGGGCGTTCTAAGTCAACAGGGGGTCTTGAATCGGTTAGGGGGAAGATTTGCTCAACCGGGACGAGGACGGGAGCCCGAATGGCAGAGGGTCTCTTTTGCGTTGGTCGGAGCCCTCTGACAGTTGAGGAAAGTAAGAGCTTATGATGAGTGCCCTCATTGAGGTAATAGAAGGGGCCTGTGCCAGTCAAGGCCCCCGCTACCGAACGGTGGGCCCTCCAAGCCTTTGCCAGCATTGGCCAGTTAATCCGAACTGGAGTCTATGGTCCAATTATTTGACCACCTGAGGTGAGCAGGGATGTTGTTGCGTCGATGACGGTTCATGCATCGACCCGGGGGTTAGCTGCGCGGGTCAGGAGGCCTTCCACGTCAGGGAGTGAACCAATGTGACATGACGTATCCCCCTCCGTACTGGCCGGGGGACGCCGCCGCGTGCCGCCAGAATGAAGACCGGAAAACACAACGCGGTGGGACAGAATGGCCCTCCAGCTCCTGACCGAGAACAGCAATGTACCCCGCAGTGTTATGCTCAACGGGTTCCCTTTACCGGAAAAAAATCAGGGGTCTCATTAGTCAGTCTTCTCGAGAACGTTCATTTTTTGCTGAATCGACTAGTGAAACAAACACCATCAAAATGTTTGAGCCTACGGCCGGGTGCCGATAGTGTAGTGGTTCACGCTCCTGCGTCAACCACTGCGCGTCTGGGAAACCGACGTTGCGCGGTCTAGGGAGACTGGAACGCCTGACGTCTGAGCGAGCTTGCTATTGTTAGAGGCGGGGTACGCTGAGAGTCTTAACATTCCCGACGCTAACTGAAATGCCGTTCGCGGTTACCGCTGGGGAAGAGACATTAAAGGACCGACCGAAAGCCGGCGGCACATAGCGTTCTATTCGTAGATTATCTATGGTTCTGTTACTCAGGGCGAGACTGCCTACAAAATTTACCCATATATGCGAAATGGACTCGTCCAAGCGATCATATAAGTGGACTGAGCCGTACCTGGACCCTGGAACTATCATCCACATCTACTATCCTGGTAGCTATTACCCTGGAACCGTATAGCCAATGAGCGAGCCATCAGAGCTTTCTCATCGTCGCTAATACTGGAAAAATAATGACGCCGCCCATCTCGCTGCAGGTATAGCAGGCTTATTGGGAGTTAGGTGTGAGGTAAAACGCTTTTTATTGCCAGCTTATAGCACATACATGTACTCCTCATTTAGCTCTATGGCGCTAAATTAGGGCATTTGAAGTGTTGGCGAATTGCTTGTGTATCTGCTAATCTTAATTATGTATGGCTATCGTGTTACATGCCGTCGATTAAGACCGTGTCATGGAATGCAACGCCTAGGCCGGTGGTACCTGCGGTTCTTGTTTTTTTTTTCCAGATAGTGCCTATAAAAACCATGCTTCATGGAGTCGAGCCACATCGCCGTCGCCTGTCCACAGCGTCGGACGGGAAACGAGTCGGGGGCCGCCGCGTCAGCGCGAGCGCCGTCTCCCCGCCATTAAGGGGCGCGCTGCCCATCACCCGGCTGGAGGTGAACGGGCGGATGGTCAGCGTGCTGGTGGACACGGGCTGTACGGACACGCTCGTATGCAGTGGACGCTGCGAACAATGGACACTGCGGACGGTGAAAATGTCCACGATTAACGGCCAAGAACTCAGATGCTGCGGGACCGGCAGCATAGTGGTTAATACCAAGGACCGTCGAGTGACGCTCGAGGTCCTGGTAGTGCCGGGCTGACCGCTGGATGTTGACGTCGTGCTCGGCATGAGTGGCATCACTGCCCTGGGAGGTATCAGCGTGCGGACGCCGACAGACGTGCGGTTCTGTGCGGCGGCAGCTGTGACCCAGCGAGGCCTGGAGGTGGATGCAGCCGACTCTACGGCGAAGCTTAGCAGCGAGCAGCAGGCGTGGACGGTCGCCTGGAAGTGGACGGACGGCACAGGTCCAGAATGTCTACGCAACGTGGTGGTCGAGTATCCTGTCCCCGCGGACGCGCGGCAGGCGTACGACGCGGAGATCGACGCATGGATCAGCAATGGCTGGCTGACGCCGTACGACAAACAGGTGGATGGACCGCCGCGCGGTCTGGTGCCGCTGATGGCGGTACGGCAGGCAAATCAGGATAAGGTGAGACCTGTCCTGGACTATCGAGAGCTTAACAGCTTTGTGACGGCCCACTCGGCGGACGGGGACGTCTGCGCCGACCAGCTCCGAAAGTGGCGGCGACATGGGACACGCGTCGCAGTGGTGGACCGGCGCAAGGCGTGCCCGCAGCTGCGCCTGGAACGCTGACTGTGGCCCTACCAGACGGTCATGGGCGAAGACAGCGCTACTGCCTGACACGACTGGGGTTTGGGCTCAACGTCGCCCTGCTCATCATGGAGGCTGTCGTTCGTGCAGTGCTGGCGGAGGACGCCGACATGCAACGCGCCGTGCTCCCATATGTGGACGACCTGCTGGTCGACGAGTACATCGTGAGCGCAGACCGCGTGGTGCGTCACTTCGCTCGCTTCGGCCTGGCCTGCAAAGCGCCGGAGCGTGTAGTGGACGGCGCGCGCCTGCTCGGCCTGCGCGCGCAGCTGGTGGAGCGGAAGCTGCACTGGTCGCGCGACAATGGCGTCGCTGCACCATCGGAGCAGGTCACGCGGCGCGCTGTATTTGCATGGTGCGGCCGGCTGGTGGCTCATCTGCCCGTCAGCAGCTGGCTTCGCCCTGCTGTCGCTTGGTTGAAGCGCAGGGTGAATGCCGTCACTCACGGATGGGACGACGCCACCACGGACGTGGCACTCCTCTCCCAAATCTCTCAGACCGCAGACAGACTGAGGACGAACGACCCGGCCCGCGGCCCGTGCCGCCTGATAGGTGAAAAGGCCATCGTCTGGACAGACGCCAGCGCCATTGCTGCAGGTGTGGTTATCGAGAGCCCAGACGACGGTGTGGTAGAGGATGCCTGCTGGCTGCACCCTGAGACTGCGATGTCAGCACACATCAACATGGCGGAGCGGAATGCGGCGGTGCGCGGGATCAACCCGGCCGTCGCCTGGGGGATGAAGATCATTGACCTCCGCACTGACTCCGCTACGGTCCACCGGTGGATTGACGACGCGCTGAGCGGCCGAGCGCGCCTCCGCACCAAGGCGCATGGCGAAATGCTGATTCGACGGCGCATCAATATCATTCGGCAGTTGGTGGATGAGCTGAACCTGACGCTGACAGTCGCGCTGGTGCGGTCGGATGAAAACCTAGCGGATACTCTGACCTGTGTCCCAAGGAAATGGCTGCGCTCCTGGCACGCACCGGGGGTGCAGGTGCCGTGGGACGTGACAAGAGCATGCGCATCGGCTCCAGGGCGGCAGCTGCTGCCGTACATGATGGCGCTGACGCAGCGAAGGGCAGCGATAGCATGGACATCGAGGCGCGGATCATGTCTGCACACGAGAGTGCCGGCCATCCAGGAATCCGCCGGACACAGTACTTCGTGAGGCGCGACGTAGCGCGGGAGGCGTCGCGAGCCGCCGTGCGATCGGTTGTGGGTCGGTGCGATGTGTGCCGATCCATCGACCCAGCGCCAACGCGGTGCCGGCATGGCTCGCTGCACGTCCCCGACACGTGGACACGTCTCGCGATAGACGTAACCCTCTACCAAGGTGGATCGTACCTGTCCCTGATTGACTGCGGCCCGTCCCGGTACAGCCCGTGGCGGCGGCTGCGCCGTGCCGATGCAACGGAAGTCGTCCAACATCTAGAGGCGATCTTCTACGAGCGCGGCGCGCCGGCAGAAATTCTGGCGGACGACACGGTCTTCCGGGGCCGTCAGATGGCTGCTTTAGCGTCAAAGTGGGGCGCAGCTCTTCGCTTCCGGGCCGTCCACGAGCCAGGGGGCAACGGCATCGTGGAGCGCAGTCATCGCACGATAAAAGTGATCGCTGCGCGGCGACGTTGGACCATTGCAGAGGCCGTGCACCTGTACAATCACCTCGCGTTCTGGCCACTCTGCCGCGGACGCACCGGCCGCTGGCATTTACCAGTGCCAGATGCGAGACTGCGTGCAGCCCAGCCAGTGTGATACGGCCGATGACTCGCAGTGGTCACCACCGGCGCCAAACGAGGCGCGCCAACGGCTCGGCAACTCCACGTTCCAAGTTGGTGACCTCGTCTGGATGCGCCGCCGTGGTACGCGATGTACGGCAACATCCCGTCAGGACGTCGTCACGCGGATCGTGTCACCGCAAATGGACGAGGTGGATGGCGTACCGTGGCACGTGCGGGACCTGCGGCCTCGGTACAGCGATGCATCACGATGTGACGCCAGTGACAAGGAGGACGACGGACCCCTATACCTGGCCGCGGGCCCGTCACACCAGGAGGCCTCTGGCGCGGTCGTTGACAACCCGGACAACGCGGAGCACGCGCCGACGGCGACTGGGACGGAACCGGTATGCATCCTGGCCTGTCCTGAGCCGTCGGCGGAAGAAGTTGCGACGATGTCGCTGCGACGCAACCAGCGTGTGCGCCGGCAACCGAGCCAACTTTTTGGTGTGTCGAGTGATTGGATATTATGAAACGTTGGTGTGAGTGTATGATATTTGAAGATCAGGGGCGGGTGTAGCGGTGGACCATGCCCCAGGACAGTGTGTCAGCATGTAAGGCGAGTGGGGCGATGACTCTTGTCGGAGTGAGGAGAACAATCACGGCCCGGGTGGTGCGTCACGGTGGCGCCGGCCAGTCGCACGCAGATCGTGTTGCGGGTATGAGCCTTGGAAGGAGTATAAGAGGTGCTGCTCGGGCATGTAGGAGGTCCCTTCCTGTCTGCGTCGTGTGCGGCAGTTCACCGCTGCGTGTGAAGCAGTCCGACCGAGAATTCTTTTAAGCATCGAATACAACTTGTCTATCACTTATCGATTCTCAGTCCCTGACTGAATGTCGAGTGTTTCCAGTAAAACATGGGTTGGCTTTTTCACCCCTTCTTGGATGACTTTTAAATCATCAGGGGGTGTTTGCCAACATTTCAACCCTTCAGCTTCACCCCTCCACCCGTTGCCAAAGCACTGTCCTTGCAGTGCACGTAAATCGGAGCACTTATCTGAGATAAAACGCCACATTGTCTCTCTGCAAAGTCCACATTAGCAGTAATTGTCTAGGCAGCCTCTCCCCTCACAACTTCTGGGAGAGAAAGGCCGAAATCCGCAGAGCAGCCCGTTTGTGATCGTTTTTCGGGGTAGGCTGAGTCACGACTCATTTTTTGCTGTCCAGCCCGTCCTGTCAACTCATTTTGCGAAACTACATCGCTGTGCTCGGTCGTTTCCCGGTTTGGCAGCCGGGGATGACTTACGCTGGTGACTGCGTACCTGCGTATAGTCTGCAGTATCCCGAAGTGTGTCAGGTAGTGGTTTTAGATTGTTTGCACCACACCCGTGGTGTATTTTCAGACCATAATGCCGCTGCTGAAATATTGCACAACTCATTCTTTTATTCAGAGAGAAGGCTAAGCATGCTTTCAAGAAATTACGTTCAAGCTCAAACTGCAAAGATGTTTTGCGTGAAAATGCAAATATTCAAGAAATATTATAGATGGAAAATAGGAAAAACAGCTGATTGTTGTCGACACAAATAGCGCGCTATTGCCGTACCCGTCCTTTCCTTTCGCTCTTGCCGTCGTAGCGGTGCCGAACCTGCGCAGCCTTCGGTGTCGTCGCGGAGGCTCCTGCAAGGTGTTAATGTACGTTTCCAGGTATTTTTTTGGCTTCGGTCGGGTAGTCTATTTTTATGCTTCGTTACTAGCACGAGGCGCGATATTGCTGTCAGGATTACATAATGGAGCGAAGGATCTCGCCAGTTCGGAGGCCGCCTACAACTCGGCCTCAGACTGCATCATTCCATTCTTATTTTGTTACAATAGCCTTCCACATTGCTTGGGCTTGGTTTCACTCTGTTAATTGTGTGTGTTATTCTTGATTTTATCAAATACAAGATCCAATGCATCAGTTGAAAAGGATTGTACAGCAATGGCATAGTTAAGTCAACTATTAAGAACTAAGCTTACTAATGCCGTCTTTCCTGATAAAACTGGTATAATTGTTTTGCAGCTCACAATGCTAGAGATGGTCACAAAACAGGGGAATAGTGTGCAAAATATGTTGGGAGGGGGGGGCTGGGCAGTGAAAAAGGATACTACCCACACCCTAAAATAGCAGCAAAGGTACGTCTTAAAGGATTTGGCTACTTTCTTCTCTAGTTGAAGGAGCTGGGGCCCAAGTTAGGAACTGTTCCCTCCCCAGGGCTGAATTATTAAGTACAGTCCTGCCACAAGAGGTGATGTTTTTGTGTCATTACCCCATCACCTTACCCCCTAAATGAAATAATTATGTCTGCTGACTCCTGGTGATCAGTATAGCAGGTAGGTAGAGGTGAACAAATGCAAGGCACATAATCATGATAGCTGTTGGCAGAAGTAAACACTGATAATGCATACTGAGCACTTTTTGTGGACTGACCATTGTCCAGAAATGATGCAGCAAAGTTATTACACATTTGACCTGTTAATGATGGATCAGGGAGTAGATTTGTAGGAGATGATAGAACTGTGTGCTAAAAGCTTGTGATGGGAGACAAAGAGTAGTGCTCAATGGTACTAAGTCTCATTGGGAGGTAGTAGAGAGTGGAGTGCCACAGGGGTCTGTGTTGGGCCTTTAACTCTTATTATTTTTGTGAATAATATGGAGATAAAATTAGAATGTAAGATGCATAGATTTGATGACAGCATGAAGATTATAGGGGTATTGAAGGATGCAGACTGGGCTAAACTTGACTTAGAGAAACTAGTGAACTGGGCTTCCTGTGGCAAATGGCATTAAATAAAGATAAGTGTAAGGTGATGCATTTGGGTAGTTCTGGTAGTGAGGGCACTAGCAATAAAATGGGAGGTCAAGAATTGGACCAGATCAAGGATGAAAATGACTGATTTGTTGCAATTTACAGGGATTTAAAGGCTGAAAGACAATTTAGGGCTGCTAGGAACAGGGCACGTTGGGTGCTGAGACTTATTAACAGGAATGTCCATTACAAGAGTAGGAATGTTATCAAAAAGTTGTACTTAGGTTATGTCAGGTCATATATAGAATGTGGTGTTGAGGCTTGGTTCCCATGCTTCCAAAAAGATATGGATAGGCTGAAGAGAGTACAGCAAAAAGCAAACCGGATGATAAATGGTATTGACAACTTAGAAAAGGATAGGTTTAAAGCCTTGTATTTGTATTCACTGAAATACCATAGCCTTGGAGGGGATCTTATAGAGGTATTCAAGATTATGGGAGGGAAGACAAGGTAGATCTACAAGGAGCACTGGAAATTAGGCTGAGTCTTAGAGGAAACTATTGCCAATAAGCAAAAGGTAGGAGTAGAGCTGTGGAGAGGCAGGATGACATTTAGTCAAAGAATGAGAGTTATCACATCACTCACATCCAGAGTCACAGATATACAGAGGGTTCCCAGTAGTGGCATTACCTCCTTCTTCACATGGCCTTCTGTGATCACGACACTGGTGTCTGCCATCCAGCTGATGGGTAATTGCATGGCATGGCTGGGACCACAGAAGTCTTTTGCAAATGCTTCATTCAATGATAAATTATTTTTGAGAATGCCAAAAGTTATTAACATTGAATGCTGATGAAATGGCTCTGATGGCAGAAAGTTCTTTCCAAGAAATATGCTGTAACTAGAAACGTTTGTGGCCAATTTGGTTGTTTTGACTTTACTCTACATCTCCTGGAATTATAGGTATGTCAGAAGTTCGTTTGCCTGCTGCTTTTAGTTTGCATGCCATTTAGGAAAGCAGGAGGGTGGGATAGACTGGCCTCTGCTCTCCCGTGCACTCCGGCGTCTCCGGCGTGCGAGTGAAGAATACGATTGGAGATCCACTTAGCATGGTGCATGTTGTCTTCCGGCAGACGATGCAGGCGGCCGTGAGACAGGTGCGCACGGCAGCTCGGCTGCCCGCGCTGGCGCGGCTGCCGGCCAGCATGCAGCGGCGGCCGTACTCGGAGGCCAGCCACGAGGCCGACCTGGTGGTCATCGGCTCTGGTCCGGGCGGCTACGTGGCCGCCATCAAGGCCGCCCAGCTCGGCCTCAAGACCGTCTGCGTGGAGAAGAACGAAACGCTGGGCGGCACCTGCCTCAACGTGGGCTGCATCCCGTCCAAGGCGCTGCTGCACAACTCGCACCTCTACCACGAGGCCGTGCACGAGTTCAAGGAGCGCGGCATCGACGTCGACAACGTGCGGCTCAACCTGGACCAGATGATGAACACCAAGCGGAAGGCGGTGAGTGGGCTGACCTCGGGCGTCGCCTACCTCTTCAAAAACAATAAGGTGACGCACGTTAAGGGCCATGGCACCATCACCGGCACCAACGAAGTGACGGCCACGGCCACCGACGGCAGCAAGGAGGTCATCAAGGCCAAGAACATCCTGATCGCCACGGGCTCGGAAGTGACGCCGTTCCCCGGCATCACCATTGACGAGGACACGGTGGTGTCTTCGACGGGCGCTCTCTCGCTGAAGAAGGTGCCCAACAAGATGGTACTGATCGGTGCCGGCGTGATCGGCCTCGAACTTGGCTCGGTCTGGTCGCGGCTGGGCGCCGAGGTCACCGCCGTCGAGTTCCTCAACCACGTGGGCGGTGTCGGCATCGACAGCGAGGTCTCCAAGAACTTCCAGCGCATCCTCGGGAAGCAGGGCGTCAAGTTCAAGCTGGGCCACAAGGTGACGGGCGCTGAGCGGTCGGGCGACACCATCTCGGTGGCCATCGAGAACGCCAAGGACAGCAGCAAGCAGGAGACGCTGGACTGTGACGCGCTGCTCGTGTGCGTCGGCCGCCGGCCGTATACCGAGAACCTCGGCCTCGAGCTGATGGGCATCGAGCGCGACGAGAAGGGCCGGATCCCGGTCAACTCCCGCTTCCAGACGGTCATCCCCAACATTCACGCCATCGGCGACTGCATTCACGGCCCGATGCTGGCGCACAAGGCCGAGGACGAGGGCATCGTCTGCGTGGAGGGCATCGCCGGCGGTCCGGTCCACATCGACTACAACTGCGTGCCGTCCGTCATCTACACCTTCCCGGAGGTGGCCTGGGTGGGCAAGTCGGAGGAGGATCTCAAGGCCGACGGCGTCGAGTACAAGGTGGGCAAGTTCCCGTTCGCCGCCAACAGCCGCGCCAAGACCAACCAGGAGACGGACGGCTTCGTCAAGGTTCTCGGCGACAAGGCGACGGACCGCATGCTGGGCGTGCACATCATCGGGCCGGGCGCCGGAGAGATGATCAACGAGGCCGTGCTGGCCATGGAGTACGGCGCCTCGTGCGAGGACGTGGCGCGCGTCTGCCACGCTCACCCCACCTGCAGCGAGGCGCTGCGCGAGGCCAACCTGGCCGCCTACTTCGGCAAGGCCATCAACTGCTGAGTGGGCCGCACCTGTGGCGGCTGCGATCGACTATAATGGGAGGGGGGGAGGGAGCGCGAGGCGGGTGGCTCTGTTGTGTCTGTGTTGACGAAACGTGGGCTATTAGTATTCAAGTTGTAGGACGCTGTGGCAAATTGATCGAAGGCCTGTTAAGAACCTGTACAGTGCGGGCCCTCTGTCACATTTGGAATTATTGCATCGGATGTCTATAGAATTAACATCAATCTGCAATACAAACCCAAGCAACCTGCTCGAAAGCCTTTTGCTAGTCATGGTGGTGTGGTTTCGGAGTGCGTTTGATTTGTTTTCGAAGCTAATGATGCTCTTTAAACGTTCCAGACGCAGCCATCTTTGTTATTTGTTTCCGCATTTTATCTTGTAGATGGGCGCACGGCATTCTGGTTGAGCCATGAATACACTCAGTTAATTTTTATTTCGCTCGTTCTCTCAGGATAGATGATAGACGACAGATGGACCGATACCAAGTTTTCAGTGTTTAGGGGTGTCGAAAGGACACTGTTTCCAACCATAATTGTGTTCGATAAAGCTGCGTAACCAGTTTATCATGTAGCGACGGTTATGACACGAACCAAACGGGTCCAAATGCCAACTATATGACATGGACAGCCACGGCCGCCATCCCGTCGCGACTGTCACTGCGTCGTCAGCGAGGCTGCGTCGGCGTGTATGACATGAACGGCCACGGTCGCCATCCCGTGGCGACTGTCACTGCGTCATCAGCGAGGCTGTGTCGGCGTATATGACATGAACGGCCACGGTCGCCATCCCGTGGCGATTGTCACCGTGCCGTCAGCGAGGGTGTGTCGGCGTATATGACATGGAGAGTCACGGTCGCCATCCCGTGGCGACTGTCACCGTGCCGCCAGCGAGGATGTGTTGGCGCGCAGATGACCACGGCAGAAACACGGCCTTAGCTGGCGCAGACCAGGTCTGGGGCACCAAACACGAGCGATTACCAGTGATGGAGGAAATGTCACGTAAAGCGTGTCTCGTGCCAGTCTGCGTCAGCTTTAATCATGGGGTTGGTTGAGGCATGCACTGTACTGGTACATATATAACAAGCCAATGCGGTAGGCGAGGGCGTCCCAGGGCGTCCAAAGGATGGAGACTAGGCACGGTGCGTCGCGACGCCGGTGAGCTTTGATTTTGTGGTTCTTATCACAACCGCTGATATTCACCGTAGCCGGGGGCGCAGCCAGAGCCCTGGTAAGGGGAGGGGGGCACAGCGTTGGCAAAGGGCTCCGAAAAATCGCCGGATGTGACCTGTTTGTCAAAGAGGACATTTTTTCTTATATATATATATATATATATATATATATATATATATATATAACACATTTACATTCTATAACAGGGAGCTAGGCCAGCGCTACCAAGAGATAAACTCTGCCTTAAATGTGTAGTAAATAAACATACCAGGTCATGTTTGTCTGGGTATCTTCAACAGTCAGTCAGACTTGATAAGTGGTACGAATTATGTAACGTAGTTTTGAGCATGCGCGGTCGCACTATCTTGAAACAAAAAACTCGACGTCAAGCGTTGCAGTCTCCTTAGACCGCGTACCGTCGGTCCTGCGGTTTATGTTAGACCGCGGCCAAGAGCTGGACAAAAATAGCGACGCATATGAAAAAAACTTAAGCGCTTTTGGCCATCAAATGGTACATTTAGAGACATTTCGGGCGTATGTATCACCTGTGCGGTTTTTAGATTGATGACAATGACATGTTGGCCTTTACAGCACCGCCAAGTGGTGCTGGATCCTGGTTGTGGAACTGGAGGAGAAGAGGTAAAATTTGTTTGTTCTGTTGCTGTAACTGTTGATCCGTCCAGAGTACATCCTTAAAGTTATAAAAAAGATTCGCCAAGTGCCATTCTTGAACTGTGCGAATTAATTTTGGAAGACATTCAGGGGCATTATTTTCTTTCTATGGCCATTGTTGCGCGCTCGGTGCCCGCCCCCTGGCGTTACTGGCAGTGACCAACGCCGTTGGGTTTTACGAAAACTGCGACCCAAGCCACCGCTATCCTTGGTTCCCAGGATTACGGCAGTGTCATTGGGGCCTTATAGCGCAGTCAGCTGCTGGGGCTATATGGTGCTGCAAGCCTCTCACCCTGGCGGGAAAAGCGGACACCGCGGGGAATCGAACCGCGTACCTTGGGTTTCCCAGGCGCACGGTGGCTACTGCAGGCGCATGAAACACCACACCGTCGGCACCCGGCGCATCTCTGCTCACCGCAGGTGGTCAAATAATTGACACATAGAATCCAGTTGGGCTTGATGGGCCCATGCTGGAAAAGGGTTGAAGGGCTCACCGTTCGGTGCTGGAGGCCCGGACTTGACACAGGACTCTTCTATTTTCTCAATGTGGGCACTCATCATAAGTTCTTGTTTTCTTCAACCGTCAGAGGACCCCGATCAACGCAAGAAACCCTTTGCTATTCGGGCTCCGCCCCTGTTGAACAAATCTTCCTCCGACCGATTCCAGACCCCTGTTGACACAGAATATCCTGTTTGGCAATGTGGGCCCCTGAACGAAACAGGAGGGGAGGAACTGGGCCCTTAGGCCCACGCCGCCACGGAGCCAACCGCGCGTTACTGTTAGCGTCTGACCAAAATAAAAGCCCTTATCGACTCAGTGGGCCCCTGATCACCGCGCAGGGCCCTCTGGCTGAACCTTAAGAGCCCGGCCCTGTGGAACGAAGCCTCCGAATAAGACCTCTGGCTGTCTTTTCGGGCCCTTCGGGCTCTCAAATCGGGCCTTTCATCGTAGGTTCCGAGGGGTCCTAACAGCCCCTCGGAACCTAAAGGCGGGGGGGGGGGGGGGCACGTGCCCCCTCTCTGCGATTGATCGTAGCCGGCGCAGCTACACACAAGTTCACGGATTTCAACGCAATACACAAATGCATGTGCGAAGCCGTCTCGAAATATGATCCTGTCAGGCGGCGCGTTGTTACGTACGTGGCAATTTTGGTGGCGCCGGTGTTCCAATACTCGGCCACTCTGGTTGCAGAGATGTCGATATTCTTTCATGCTTTTACATCCCGGCTTTGGGCTCAATGCCAAGGCCCATACCCTTGCTCAAAATCAGCCAATCAGCATCGAACCGGGCGGCTGATAAACCGGTATCTATGCGCCTCAGGCTTGACAAATGGGCTGTATAGGTTAGATATCTGGATCGGGGTCAAAGGGCAATGGATTAGCGCCAACGAATTGCGTGCGGGCGCCTCCGGAGAGCCAGGATTCTGGTAGCATGAATTTATAGTCACGTCCTGCATACCCTATTGGGTGAACTTTGGAACACTTCCAGACGCAGGCATCTTCCCACTGGCAGCTCTTCACGCTGTGACTTGCTGTGAAGTTTTGGATAAGCTTGGGCTCTGGCGGCCATTGGGGGCTCGCACCACCAGGGTATAGCACAGCTACCATTTACCAGCATTACGGTGGTGCCTTAAGCCGTGCCACTACTAGGTCGCTTCCTAGAGAAAGGGAAATATTGAAAATGGTTACGAACAAATTACGTTAACAATTTAATTTACAACTATTCAGATTACAGACATGATATATGCACCATAGATGTAGTAAAATGCAATATAAATAACAATTCAATCAGAAAAACTAACTCACGCAAAATTCTTCCGCAGTTCCTTCGGACTCGCCAACTGTCTCTCAGGCAATAGTAAGCACCGTTGCGATGTATTTACCAAGCATGTACACCACAGTCCATTGAAAGTGATACAGCAGTATGGCCTTTTGCTGCTCAGATAGAGTGGCATGGCGTTCACTCCGACATCCCGCTACAGCGCAGCACCGCACCTGGCCTATGGGCGTTGACATTGGACCATCTACAACGCTTCTTACGTGCTGTTTTCATGGGTCACACCAAACTGCGCATGAGATTGCCATGGACAAGTCTTATCCGATCAGTTTAGATAGAAACGACTATTCTGGTACCCTCGCAATATTCGTCAGCCTGCCTTAGTTCAAAATTGCGCATATTGTCCGTTGCGCGCGCGGTGAAAACACAAAAAGAAGAAAAAGGCAGCAACTGAGCTCCACACGCGAGACTGCCGAGTGCGCGGCGCCTCCAAGACAGACGGATCACATGTTCCGCGGAGACGAAACCCCGGCCACGTAACACTTCGCGTACACGTATCACACGCAATTCACTTTGTACAAATGCCACAGGCGATACCTCGTTGAAATATTGCAGACTCGAACCGATCATAAAGGGCAGGCTTCGCTCTCAGAGCACTCGGGTCAATACATCAAAGCCGGGTGGCCAGTGGGCCGCGCCTGGCGCTCCACACGCCGTCCCGCTCTACCGTCCGGCTACGCGCCTCTATGGTGACGTCACCGGAGGGGCGCTCCAGGCGCTCCACACGCCGTCCCGCTTCTAACCGCCCCGACTCCGCCCTCTAAGTGACGTCACCGGAGGGCAGCACACGCCGTCCAGCTCTCCCGACCGGCTTTGCACCCCTCCGATGACGTCAATCGCAGGGGCGCGCTAGGCACTCCACACGCCGTTCCGCTTTACCGACCGGCTCCGGTGACGTCACCGGACCCCTAGAGGCCGCTAGGCGGACGCCGAGCCATCGCCGTCGTCATGCTTGCTCTCCAGCGAGAAGGGCGGTATCCGGCAATCGAACGAGTAGCCATCCTGCCGCGTCATCCGGAACGTGCCCCTGGGGTCACAGCCAGGTCAGCAGCGGGCACACGATCGCACACACACACACACACAGCACCGCTTATCAGTGCACAGTACACAGGTTCCGGAGCACTGAGCCCACAGCCAGAGCACTGCGGTGAGCGACGTGCTCCCGAATTCCACAAGGAGAAAGCCGGAGAACTTGTGACCACAAAGTCTCGGCAAGTACACGATTAATACGCGATAGCGCCGCCGATACTCCCCGGAATACGACATTCCGTGGCGACAATGACCTCATGACTGATGACCCAGAGCATGTCCCTTGGTCATAGTGGATGCAACAACTGGATCTGATGCCAACGAATCCCTGGATGACCGTGGGGCGAGCTGTACAAAGCAGGAAATCAGCGGCGGTGGGCCAGCGACAGCGTTTCAAAATTTATCCGGCTGGGGGTGCAGGATGGAACTGTGACGTCATGCTGCCACAATTCTGGCTCTCTCGTGGCCTCCGTAAGCAGACAGAATCGTTGGTTGCCCACACCTTATCCTTGGTTGGCCGCCGTCCGGCTCCGTACTGATTGGCCGGTGTTCAGTGAGGGAGGGGGGGGGGGGGGAAGCAGGTCTCGAACCGCCCCCCGGGGAACGATAGTATGAACAATGCCCGCTGCCTTACGCCTCAAGCCTAGAACGCCTTGGTTGACCGCCGCCAGGCTCGGTACTGATTGGCCAATGTTCAGTGTGGGGAGGAAGAACAGGTCTCGCATCGCCCCCTGGGAGTGTGATAGCATGACAAATATCTCCGGCCTCACATCCCAATTGGTTGAATATTGAAACATTGGCGTCAGCAATACGCCCGAAAAAAATCCAGTCAGACCTCCAGATAAGCTGAGTCGTGCTCAGATCGAGCCGTGCGAGTTAGCACCCACAGCTAGTTTACGCCTGCTCGACCGCAACCTCATTCTATCCACTTAAAACAAAAACAAAAAACTGTTAATGGTACCCTGACACACGTCTGCTCCGGAGAGGCCAACCAGCAGACATCGGGTCTAGGGAAGGCTGACCAGCAGGCACCGGATCTGGAGGAGGCGGACCAGGCAGACAGCGGACCTGGGGGGGGGGGGAGGGGGGCGGACCAGCAGACACCGGGTCTGGGGGAGGCGGACCAGCAGACGCCGGGCCTGAGAGATGCCGGCCAAAAGCCCGCCGGGGCTAGCGGCAGCTGCGACGCACCACATGTGTCCGGAGGGCGCCTGCAGGCTGACGTGGCTGCTGTACTGGAAGGCCGGCTGGTGGCGCGAGAGCACCGGCTCCTGGCCGACCACGCCGCGACCGCGCACGGTCTCCAGCGTGCCCGACAGCGAGAAGATGCGCCAGTTGCGCTCGCGCAGCTGAACCGTCTGCTGGCCCAGGTTCTCCAGCCGGATGCAGTAGCGCCACTGGGGACAGGAGACGGCCGCGTCACTAACCGGGGGGAGGGGTACGACTGGGGGTGCCAAATAAGTGGGGAGCTGCCCCGGGTGAACAGGTCAGTGGGGAGAAGCCTTGAGATGACCAGGTCAGTGGGGAGAGGCCCTGAGGTGACCAGGTTAGCGGGGAGCGGCCCTGGGGAAACCAAGTTAGGCTCTGAAATAAAGAATCGATGGGGGGCGGCCCTAGGGCGTCAGAGTCCGTGGAGAGAGGCCCTGGGGCGTCAGAGTCAGTGGAGAGAGGCCCTGGGGCGACAGAGTCAGTGGAGAGAGGCCCTGGGGCGACAGAGTCAGCTGGGAGCGGCCCTGGGGCGACAGAGTCAGCGGGGAGCGGCCCTGGGGCGACAGAATCAGTGGGGAGCGGCCCTGGGGCGACAGTCAGCTGGGAGCGGCCCTGGGGCGACAGAGTCAGAGGGAAACGGCCCTGTCGCCCCAGCGCCGCTCCCCGCAACCCTGGGGTCAGTCGCAACAAATCCAACGACAACTCCACGGCGAATGAAACATAAGCTGGGAGCTGCCGCTCAGACGAGCACGGCGTGGAAGCCGCCGGCTCGCTCGGGCCGGCTCGCGCGGCGCTGTGCAGCCTGACGGGACGCTCACCCAGTGGACGGCGCTGTTCTGCGACTCGCGGCAGCCCATGTAGAAGGGGATGACGGTGACGCGCACACTCTCGGTCGTCTCGCGGTGCACGTCCGACAGCTCCAGCCACGGGTGGTTCTTCTCCTGCCAGGCGCGCAGCGTCTCGCGCGCGGCGAACGGCGGCTCTGCGGGTCAGGTCACCCGTCATTCGTCACCCAAACCGGCGGCCCCACAGATCATATCACCGTTCACGTGTCACTTCGAACAGCGGCTACACAGCTCCGTCACCGGTCACCCAGACCGGCGGCTCTACAAGTCAGGACCGTTAACGGCCGCCATAAATAACAGGCCGCCCTCTCAGGATGGATGAGGCAATCCATCACACAGACCGGTAGCCCTAGTATATCAGACCTGGTCATTCATCACACATACCAGTGGCTCTAGTATATCAGGCCAGGCCATCCATCATACAGACCAGTGGCTCTAGTATGTCGGGCCAAGTCATCCATTACACAGACCAGCGGATCTAGTATATGAGGTCAGGTCATCCATCACACAGACCAGTGGCTCTAGCATGTATGATTGGGCGTCAGTCATCCAGCACAGCAACTCACTGAACCTCCAGGTTGTTTTTGCAGAAAGAGTGTCACATCTCCTTTTGGGCCTATGAATCAAATATATCAAAATTCTTCATCAAAATACACATAAATTTCGACTGAATTGGCCGAATGCAAATAGAACATCCTATCAAAGCAGATTACACCAATCATTACCGAAGAAGGTAGTACACCATACCTACTTCTGTCTGGTCCATACTGCCACACCCACCTCTGTCTGGCTCATACTCGAGGAACTTGTCAAACAGCTCGTGGAAGAGCGGGGTGCGCTCGGTGGTCGAGTACGGCATGATGTCGTCGTGGGCCACGTAGTCTAGTCCCGGGATGGCGTACAGGGACCTGCTGTTCTCGTGGCTGCCTAGGAAGGTGACCGACTCGGTCTGCGCCCTCTGTCAAACACGGCACCGCTCGGTCAGCCCCACCTGCCGACCGGCGAAAGGCCACCAGGTCACCTACCGACCGCCGACAGGCCACCAGGCCACAGGCCACAGGCCACCTGCTGACTGCCAACAGGCCACCAGGCCACCGGCCACCTGCCGACTGCCGACAGGCCACCAGGCCACCTGCCGACTGCCTACAGGCCACCAGGCCACCTACCGACCGGCGACAGGCCGCCAGACCACAGGCCACCTACCGACTGCCGACAGGCCACCAGGCCACCTGCCGACCGGCGACAGGCCACCGGGCCACCAAGTGACAGGCCACCAGCCCACACCGTCCAAACAGGCGGTCGGTACACCGCTCATTAACTGTGACCCCTCCCCTATCGTGCAGTTCGCTACATCGACTGTCTGGATAGGACAACGCTGTGCATAGCTAGGCTTAGGTTTCGTGGCATAGAGCAAGCAACTGTCGGTCCTGTCATGATACTCGATGGATGATTCTGCTATCAATAAACCATAACATTCACCTGTCACAGCCTCTTGCACCTATGCTATCCCAATAAATGCATGCAAAAAAACTATCAATTTCAAAACCAATGAATCACGACAAGTTCAGATGGCCCCTGGGCTAGTTCCACCGCTTTATGACGGACCACGCCAGTGACCATGGCTCCATGGCATGGCAAGGCAAGGTCCCGTCCATGGCAAGGTCCCAATCACCGCCCCACTGCTGTCCTCGGGCGAAGCTGATGCCGCACGAGGGAGGCTGGGGCAGCTCACCACAAACGGACAGTCCCGGGAGTCGATCAGCGCCTGGTAGTACGTGTGCGTGTTGCTCTTGACATCCTTCCCGGCCGGATTCAGGGCCGGGGCCTCCAGCTCCGCGCTGAAACGTCACCATTGTGGGACTGAGTCGCTCGCAGCACGGCACCGTTTCGGCTCAGATGGACCAGTGAAGAAAAAGGAACGCAATGTGTTGTTTTGGCAGTTTGCCACACATCACGTATTTTAGTTCCTCACAAATATGGCGATGGCCATACAGCATTTCTTTCCCAATTCATCGCATGTGATAAAGCTGTGAGGACCACACCACAAAGCTCACCTGGCAGGAGTGTCCTCCACTTTGTTTGTGTCCCTGTCGTACACACGTGCCTGCCATGGGAACAGTATAACGCCCCGGTATCCGAACACCCTGTGCAGGAACAGCTGCCCGGTGTCATACTTGCCCGAAGGTCGAGGAGCCACCAGCTTTCCGACCTCAGCCAGCCTGCCAGAACAAGGCGCGAAGTCTCGTGGTTGCTCAACAAAGTTGCGTTGCTTAATAGCGGACTCCACCGCCCGCGAGCAGCCAACGTCTCGAATGAAGTACCACCACATTCGTTCATCCGTGAAATCGACGAACGGGATACGCACTGAAATACTGAACAATAGAAGCAATGTATTGGCTTAATTGGCTTGTACTTGCATTTAAATAGATTGCAACATAAAGGGGAAACAGCGATCGACAAAGCATATCGATGCGCCTCACACACAAACTGAATGGTTGCGATATGCATGGCTACCAGCGACCGCAAAGATGAATGCATCGTTTTGAAAATATGTTACCTGCGAAAAACCACGTGATCACGGTTACGGCCAATCAATAATGGAAATGGTGTAAAGAAGCTAATAAGTGCATAGTTACCTGGTGAAACTGGCACAAAGCTGATACGTGACATGTCGCTGACTGGTTTGCTTTAACAGAAATGAAGCCCACACTCGGATCATTTTGATCTACCTGCTGAGCGGGAATAGTCAGAAAGCGCATTCACATACACTTGTACGCAAGGCATCACAACGTCCAGTTGTCATAAAGCTTGGAACGTGTGTGAACTCGCAGCAGTTAAGGTCCCGAGCCGATGGCGCCTCCATCACTACTATGCTGAAGGGACAAACATGTTGAAAGAAGGATTGGCAAGAGGCTTATAGAATGGGAGAAAGGTCATCAATACTCCGCCACTTTCTCCCGGACCTGTGGGTTTCATTTTAAGGGGATTGCCCCACCTTTCGGGCAGATTTCAAAAACATACCCTGGTGAAACCTCAGGACTTGTTGCGTCTTTAGCAATGGTTAGGGCCACTGCAGCACCATTAAGATATAATGGGGATACCGGTTTCAATAAGTTTTTTTTAGACAAAATTACGCTGTCGACGTTTTGTCACAGCGCTGCAGTACTTTCGTTCCTTGCAACCTCAGGTGTGGCCCTAGCCCGCGACAACTGACGGTAGTGGTCCGCTGAGGGCCGTCATCAGCTGTTATAGACCAGAGGTACCACTTTTGAGCTGTTTTAACCTGCACATTGCGTGCCTCCGGCCTTAAAAGTGACAGGTAAAAGTAAAATAGTGAGCTATTCAGGACTTCGAGAGAAAAAACTGTATCGCCAATGAAATCGGACGTGATGAAATCAGACGTGTATGACCAAAAACTATGCGATAGGAACACGAACGTAACATCATGCTTTTTAAGTTGAAAGGCAGCTTGCACCGCTGCCCCCTTCTCTCATTCCCTATGGCGAAGCCTATGTCCCTACCCACCAAACAGACCTTAAAGCCCAATTGTGGTGGCATGTGTAGCCATTCTGTAATACAGAGGGAGCACAAAGAGACCACTCGGAATATTGGTTGTCTTTGGATTGAGCCTGATCTGTTTTTCAGTGTCACTGTGCAATGCAGAATGTGGTAATATCTGGTGTTAGAACTTTTAGCTGCCAAATGTTACCAGAAAAAGCCCAGTTACATCCAGTGTGAGAAATACTGCCATACCATAAAAAACCATGTCAGCTCAGTTTAGAATGTATCACAGGATTGTCCACAACATAATCTGGTGAGGTGAGTTTGCCTTGAACAAGAAACAAATTTCTGAGGCAAAATATATTGCTGTCAGAATTTCTACTAAATAGATACTATGAATAAAGGAGACCACAAAGTATGAAGAGGAATAATTTACCTGCAGAACCCTGTGCAAACAATGGTCATGGGCCTTGAAGGTGTGAGGCCAATTTATCTGCCTTTCATCAGGCTTTTTTACTAACTAACATTATGATTATCTACGCCAAAGCGGTGGACTGCAGCTATGACCAGCACCAGTCAAGGCTCTCTTCAAGCAAGTTTACTGTAAGCAAACAGACTATATGGCCACCTACCACAGGACTCCAGACTTCAGGAGGAGATGCCTTCAGCATGGGGGATGATGAAGGGTCACAACTACTGAGCTTCCCCTGAACATGACTTGATGTAATATCAAATTTCCTTCCAGAGAGAACCACCTTGCTTGAGCAGAAGGATTGGGCTATCTGTAGCTTGTTCTTGCATGATTTGCTGTGGTGGAATTGGGGAGGAACCAATCAATCAGTCAACCTGTACAGTGAAGTGTTTTGCCCCAGTGACATTATATTTTGTGGCATCATGTGTATTTTCTTGCCAAATTAAAATGAGTACTCTGTGCTGTCTGTGAGTGTAAATGAACCATTGAGGTTTTGTGACACACTCAGCTGCTGAAGCTACATGGAACCTCCTGCCTCTCACCCTGGCAGGTAGGGCAGGCAATGTGCAGCAACAAACCCAGCACCCTGCATGTATACACATATGCAGTGCAACCACAAGACTACTGGTATCCTAAGTACTACATTCTCTGATGTATTTTGCTGGTATCAGATAAGCCCCCAAAGTTATGAATTCACAGGACTGAAAGGTTAACAGACTATCAAAAAGCAAGGTTCAATGCTTTTCATTGCACAGCTGCAGGAACAGGATATATATATATATATATATATTATATATATATATATTTTGAATATATATATATATATAATATATATATATATATATATATATATATATATATATATATATATATATATATAGGTATGGCCACCACCCACTTTTCAGAATGTTTAAGATTTCACAAGGACAGCAAACATTGGCATCAAAATTGGCATTACCCCCAACCCCCAACCCTTCTGAAAGTTTGAGAACTGGCCCCTCCCCTGAGGAAAGTTCTGGCTGTGTGCCCACAAGGACAATCACAGTATTGATGACACATGTTCCTCAGCTTAGGAGATGGGAATAAGTGAGCATGTTGGTAACTGTGGCAATCTGTACATGCCTAGCAGCACTCAAAGGAGTTGACCATATGAAAAAACACCTCTGGTGAGTTAGGTGAGAGCTCTAGCACACTCTCTTTTACTTGGTATCTAGCTCTGTGCTCAGTTTCCCCTTAACACTGTAAGAATTCAGCAGTTTTAGCCTTAATCTGGAGCATGACTAATGAAAGGACCCTGTCATTAGGCACTGCCTACAACTAAGCTTCTCACCACTTTTACCTACACTCCCATCAAGAATGGTGGAACCTGGACAGTCTAAAAAGCATGCATCCTTTTTACCACTAAGGCCCATGTGACCCCAGACTGCAAAACAACATGTGTTGAGCAAACCAGCATAGCTGAATGAGATATTGCACTTACAAGTTCAATGCATGCAAGCTGTATGTCTGAGCATTATGAGTTAGTGTAAGGCCAATACCAAGTTTGTGCATAGAGGGCAAAATATTTCACAAATTATTTTTACAAAGATTACTTGAAGCAGAACACTTTCAAACAGTTTGAAGAGCAAGCACACAATGAAAAATTCAGCACAGCTGATCCTGGCCTGAACTAGACACACTCATGCACAAGGTTCAGCACTTCAGGCATCCAGAGCAATGAATGAATTTTTTGCATACTGACACATGGCCTGTGACAAATGAAATGGATCTACTAAGCTGTGGTAACTGGCATTAAGGCTGCTTGGTGGTAAAATAAGGTCTGTCCATGGAAACAAGCCAGTTTTCTCTAACAGTGTAGGCCTAAAATACATAAGACATGCATTTTCCTTGGAAACATCAGGAAATCACAACCCAATAAAGCAGGTCATCAGCCTCAACAATTTACCAGTCCCTGAATCATCTCCTACATTTCCCATTTGACTCAACATTAGCACTGGACCAGTACTCTCACAACACAGCATAAATATAGTGCTTGCCACCCCTACCCCAACCATGTTTGTGATAGTAGACACCCAGACAATAATTTCAGCAGGTGTGCACTCCAGGTATGCAGCCCTTGATCCATGGCTTCCACCAACTTCAGTGCATTAAGAGCCAATTTTTCAAGCAATGATGATGTCACAATTATAATTTCAGATAAAATACACTCCCAAATACTCCTACACCGATCCAATCTGAAAATTAAACAAAAATTGGCCTGGCCTGAGTTCAGTAAACATGGGCACATGGCTCAGAGCACAGATGTCTTATCAGTGGCTCGCGCAACGGATCAATCTTTTACAGACTGGCTTCCCACCCATAGCCACGAAGTTACAGGGTCATCTCCAAAACGGAACTGACTGTGAGCGCGGCGCTGGCGGCACATAAACACGAACACACAGCCCCACAAACACGAACAGACTGCGCCTGGCGGCACATAAACACGAACAGACAGCCCACCTGACGAGTATTGCTTGAAGTAACTGGGCCCTCAAACAGGGAAAACAAGTCGTTTGGGCACAAATCAGATTTTCTCACTCCAGATTACATGTATATCGCCCACATCTGCCCAGCTGGCGCCAGAGCCAATGGATTTCAAAATAATCGTGAAATTTTCGCCGCTGAATTTCTTTTCGTCATAAGTTTTGTCTCAAGAGCGCATCTTATGCCACAAATTAAGACCAGAGTTGACCGCTAGGGCGGCGTTGAAAGCATAGATAGCTGATGCGCATCAGACGGCCAGGCGACGACCAGCATAGGCGGGTGCTGGGTGGGCAGTCAGGGTGTGCATTAGCATTCATTTGGCACTGCAAACAGTAGAACAGGCACGGGGTGGAGACATAGGCAGCACGTGATATATGCCGCAGATTTTGAGGGAAGTTCTCGAAAGGCCGGCTGAAGGTCGTATTCTGGGGTCCCGGCCAGTGGGGCCGGGAACTCCAATGCCAGCCAGAGAGCCTCTCGCACCGACCGGGGACCCTCTGAGTCAATGAGGGTCTATGTATCGGCAGATGCCTCTAGCATCGCAGAGTCGGCTCCGTGTCGGAATTGGCTCCAGGACGCATTTCCAAGCAGAGACAAGGTCGGGGCCTGTGATTTACAATGGTGGGGGACCAAGCGTCTTTCAGAGGCACGCAGTGTCTAACTGGGACCCTGTGCTGGCAAGGAGCCCGATCGTCGGCCAGAGATAGTGTTCGAGAGGGCCCGAAGACAGCCTGGAGAGCCCACCGGGACCGACGATCAAAGGTCCGATTGAAGGGGCTACGGGTACGAGGGGCCGTCTAGAGTCTTATTCAGGGACCCCCGTCTGCGGGGACGGGCCTTCAAATGACAGCTAAAAGGCTTTCATTTGAGACCCAAGGGGGACCCGTTAACTATGTCACGTGGGAATGCGTAAGTGCCAACAATGACATTTAAAAAGTAGATCTCGTAATGAATGACGCGTTTTCTCATTTCATCTCTGATCCGTTTTGATTTTCGCAACCAGTGGATTTCTTCCGCAGACGGCCCCATCATTGGCAGGATTTGGCAAGAGTGTGCGTCGGGAACGCCAATTCTGCCTCAAGAAATAAATCTCCCGTTTTTGTAAGTTTCATGTTGTTTTTAAGGATGTTATTGCTAAAGCTTATACTTCGACCTGAAATTCTGTGTTAGTAAATGTTCTATTTATGTGTTTTGTGGGAATTGGGGGAAAGGACTTTCGTCCATACACACAATTCGCCCATTGACCCAACAAAAGGCTAGGTTAGGTAAGGTTAGGTTATGTCACTGTAATCTAACACCCGAACGAACCCGACATCACCCTGTAGGCCGCAGGCCGATACACCCCTGCGAGGTAGTTCGAGAGGGTCGCAGGCCAGTTAGTTAATAAAGCGAACCACTTTGGGTCCAAGCCTACTATTACCTTGGACCCATAGTTTGGTTGGTTAGGTGATTTGCACTTAAAATGCACTACATCTAAAAAGCCTTCAAAATGGAGGACCCGTACACTATGTGTGGCGTGGGAATGCGCGAACGCCAACAATGACACTTAAAAATGTAATTTTGTAATGAATGACGCGTTTTCTCATGTGATCTTTGATTCACTTTTATTTTCGTAACCAGTGGATCTGACCTGAATCGGGAAGGCGGCGTTTTTTTTACTACACCGTGACCGCCTACAGCGCACTACCGCAGAATATTCGCGAGCTGAGCCTTCCATAATTAAAACGCGAGTTGCATAGTTGCATCCTGCAGCGGCAGATCAATAACGGATAGCGACGCCTACTTCAAATGACTAGCATGTGATGTGATGTATGGAGGCGTTATGTATGTATAGCACAGTGCATGTGGTGCGGTCCAGGACGGGGTCAGCGGCCGTCGCGGAGCCGGCGCCAGCCCGTCCCCACTGAAACCTGACGCCGGGGAGGCCACGGGCGGAGGGACGCCCGGCGCGGCGGCGCCATGCCACGCCCGGGAACAGTGGCGAAAGAGAGCTGAGGGGGGGGGGGGGGGTGGTGCGCTGCGAACTGTCGAGCGGTGGGGACATTTCGTTCTTGTGTTGGCGAGCTGAGACGGGAAGACAGTGGGTGGAGAGACAACGAGTGTGTGAAGAGACGTAATTGTGCGTGCAAAGACAGTGAATGCGAACATTTGAACATCGAACGGTGTTTACTACGGCAAATAGAGACAAGAGCTGAGACTGGCTAGTGGATATTTCTAACCTCTATACTTCATAGCGAATGTGTGAGTTCCTGCGTATGTGTGCCTGCGTGTGTACGTGTTTGCGCGAGCCTCCCTGACCTAAAGTGTTTTATTTCCATGACACGGGGTCTGTAATAGCCACATTCCTGAGTGGAGTGAGCTGATGACGTGTAATAAATAAATAGATAAATAAGTGGGTTTTCGTGCACATTGAGCCAGCGCGGGGTACGGCGGCACAGAACCGTAATCACTGTAGCAAGGAAGGAAGGTTCGTCTCTTTCGGTGACTTTGATGTCCCAGCGCAAAGTTAAGGACATCTGGCCCCAGCGCAGACCGTAAGACGAGAGGTATGCTTCGCGGCCTGGCGGAAGGTGCTGCGCACCGTACGAAAGATTCGTCAGCTCTCATCAGCAGGTCGCTGAGCCTGCTGCGCCGTAGTTTGGAGATCCGTGACGCGCGCGTTCGAGGAGCTCGGTATGAGAAGTTCAAGCAACTCAAGCTCAAACAGTGGCAGGTGTCCACTGTGCGCAAACTGGCAGATCAGGGTGATCGGCGCGTCCTTTGGATTAGCGACAGGGGGGGGGGGGGGGGAAGGGACACGGAAAATCTAAACTGGGCCATCTTTTATAAGCTTGTTTTGAGTTTGTGCTACTTGATGGGATTACTTAAACTAGGAATATTGTTTTCCGCTTCCACAGAAAGGTTTTAAGGGTAAAGTAATTGATGTGACTCGGCAATACCAATCAAAATTTTCGTATAATACTCTTGACTCGCTCAAAAATGGATACATAATGTCGGGCAAGTACTTCGGACGGGTAGTCCGCTTTGATTCTTGCCCGGTGTTGGGTCTGGCCAACTCTCCTTCCGAACGAGTCTCAACTATCTGCGGACCGGTGGGATATTGTGCACCCGGACGGTCTTGATGGCGTTCCGGAGGAGGTTCTGGCGGTTCCGGCGTCGTCGGTTCGAGAAATGGGAGCCGCGCCGGAGGAACCACTTCCGCCGTCGCCGCCTACGAAGAAAGATGACAAAATTTTTGAAAATCCAAGTAATGGTGCATCGTATGTATGCCTCAAGTAAAGCGACTGGTAGTTTAGACATTAGTGCCAAGAATATCCAGACAGATGGCATTTGTTTCGCGCAGCTTTTGAAAATGTTTTAAGGCGATCGCATTACGGGTCCTTACGGTTAGTTACCGGCCTCTATCGAATGTTGTTCGTGGTATTAACTCTGGTGGCACTGTTGTAAAACCTCGGGTGCCGAATCCAGTGTACATGCGTAATGGAAGCTTACTTTCCTGAAATACATGGATCAAGGGGATTTTAACCAGAAATCTATGCAAGAATATCTGTATACAAAATTATTTGATGTAACTCGACCATTTCGTACCTCTAGGAAGATTACGCCTACATCGACTGTGTACAATGGAGGCGCTTCTGTTACCATACCCTTTCGTAACCAGTGAATTTCTTCCGCAGATAGCCTTATCATCGGACAGATTTGGCATGGAGACTGCGTCGGGAACGCCAATGCTCTCAAGAAATGCAGTTTTAGTTTTTTAAGTTTCGTGTTGTTTTTAAGAGTGCTATTGTTAAAGCTTTCACTAGGACTTGAAATTCGGTGTTAATAAACGTTATCATTTTATGTATGTGTTTTGTGGGAATTGGGGAATTTGAGTTGCTTGAACCTCTCATACCGAGCTCTTCGAGCGCGCGCGTCACGGATCTCCGAACTACGGCGCAGGAGACTCTGCGACCTGCTGATGAGAGCTGACGAATCTTTTGTACGATGCGCAGCACATTCTGCCAGGTCGCGAAGCATACCTCTCGTCTTACGGTCTGCGCTGAGGCCAGGTGTCCTTCGGCTTCGCGCTGGGACATCAAAGTCACCAAAAGAGACGAACCTTCCTTCCTTGCTACAATAATTGCGGTTCTGTACCGCCGTACCCCGCGCTGGTTCAATGTGAGCCGATGGTAACAGCCTCTTGATGAAGGAGAGATATTTTGATCGCACAAAGCCAAGGTATCCCTGGAGATGCGTTGTCCCGGTGGTCGGGGCGCGCTCCACACCAATAATTGCCCGAAGGGCTCAGGCGGTTCCAAGTCTGCTAAGAATTCCATCAGAATCTTCCAAATTATTTATGGCCAAAGCACCAACGTCTATTACGTCTAGAAAACTAGACGCCCAGAATGCACCGATCGCAGATCCCTGAGTTGAAAGGGCCTTAACGTTGGCCAGGCACCACCAGTACCGCACAAGCCGCTCCGTATCGGTATGGGCGTGAGGGCCCACTTCCCAAGCAGTGAGAAAGCAGACTCCAGCGATTTACAATGGTTGATTGGTTAGGAACCCACAGTACCTAGCAGAGTTCCTGCGGTTCCTGTGTTGGCAAACGGCCCCGAGTCGACCAAGACAGCGTTTGATGAGGCCAGAAGAGGGGTACAGGCGCCCACCAAATGCTACGATCAAAGGTCCATCATATAAAGGATAATGGCTCAGAGGGTCGTGACTTGAAGAGGACTTCTTGCACCGATTGAGGACCCCTTGACACAATATATCAGCCAACGACCACCAACACCGAACGGTTGGCTTCGTATCAGTGTAAACCCTGGGGGCCCATTTCCCAAGCAGGAGTCAGGCTTGGGCCCACGATTTGCATAGGTCTGCCTCCTTAAAACAATAATCGGGGCCCCTATGTCGGTCAGGGGCCTACAGTGTCTGACAGGGGCCTATTTGTCGGCAAGTGGCCCCAAATCCGTCGTGGGCCTTGTTTGAGGAGGCCCAAAGAGGGGCCGAAGGGTTCCACGGAACCAAAGGTCAAAGGCCCAAATAGCCGAAGGCTAAAGGTCCCGAATGGTCGAAAGGACTGACCGTAGGTCACATAAGGACGATTCCCGTCCGTAAGGCCGTGACCTCAAATGTGAATATGAGACCTCCTTGAATCAATTG